TAGATTAATAGCTATAGGCTAAGGCCTGCCTAATAATAATAACTATAATTAAGAACACTAACTAACCTATAATGTGATATGTACGTACGTTCCCTGACGGAACTAACACGTATAATGAAAACGCCTGCCATAAGGCCGTTGTGGTCATTCGTTATAAGCAGGTTGATGTCTCGATCTTGCGCTGTATTCGAAGTTGCATTTTTGCTTCGGATTGCTTCGGGGATAAAGGAAGCTGGACTGCGGCAGTAATCCAATATGATCGTATCGCGATCGGCCCAAAAGATCCATTCTAGGCGCTCATGGGGTGGTTTCGCCATCTAGTTTAGTAGAAGTAGCTGAAGAAACGCTTGCTTATTCCACATATCGTCAATAATAGGCGCACATAAAATATGCAATTGCGTGTCTTGAACAAGATTGTGCAGTAGATGTGACCGAATGCTCTGTTGATAAAATGTCTCGGGGTCATTAGGATCAGAAAAGTGAGCTGTTGCCGTCGCAATTCGAGTCCCCAATCGTGAGTCTTTGCATTTCTGTCGCATAGACGTCGCATTTTGAAAGAGAGGTGTTGAGGATGTCAAAGAATTCATAGAACTGCTATTACCATATGCTTGTAGAGAATGAGTTGGTGAAGGATAGCTTCGTGAAGATTGCTGGTGTGAAGAAGTAGCTTTCAGCCATGGAGTAATGCAATATGGTTCGCAAGAAAGAGAATTGGCATTCAGAAGCACGACTATAGCTGCAACGCATATGCCAATTCTGGCCCATCTTCGGACACTTGTTGCAACTTTGAGCCGGCTGAAGATGTGCATGGGTGAATGCACCGAAGGTGATAGCATGGCGTGAACGGGAATAGCAGTAGGCAAGCGGCGTCGCGTGCTGTTGTTGAATGGACTCGAAAGAATCCTAGGGAAAAGTAGTATTCCAACTCTCGACGAATGCAGATATCCATCTGTATTTAGTGGCGTTCGTCAGTTTTTGGGCAGTGGCATGGTCAATCACACTTACTCAGTGGAGTAGCACAGGAATGATAGTTTCAAGGACATGAATTAGCAAAAGTCAAATTCCGCTAAATTGAAATAAATCCCAGAAGCATCTGGGTCTATATGTAGGTAACAACTCCGTGTCCCACCAGAGTAGTACTCCCTGACAACATGGAGCGCATCAACTATATGTCCACTCTTCATCATGGGTACGAAAGCGCGATTCGGCAATTGATGTTCGTGGTGCAGTGCTATCTGAGGTAGGTATTGCTGGGAACGTTTTGGTTGATCGAACAATGCATCCCTTCCATCTCGGCGTCCGTCGCATCCCGCCATTAAAGTCATGACATGCGATCAATTTTCTGGCAAGAGACTCGCAACCAACGTCTATGGTATGGGCTAAGCAAGACCTTGTCTCGAATAGTAATGACGCGCTACCAGACCTCGAGCAGACAAGAATTGGATGACCAAAGAGGTCTAACATACTTGTTCTGATTTAATTACACACTCTGTGTTGGGCTTGCCATGGACACCGGCAAGGTACTCTCATGCCGCTTCGCATCTGTCGGCGCCGTCGGGCCCCGACAAGTAAGACCCTTTATTGAAGCTATTATAGCGTTTCCCCCCATTGCCTGCCGGCTCGCAGCGTCCGCAGGTCCTTCATCGCATTTGACTCGGAGTCTGTGCTAAAGTAGTAGCCTTACCCTCTCCTCAGCAACTAGTGCATATCCTGTCTGCAACTTGTCTTGGAATAGTCATGCTAAAACGCTGCTGGGCTTGACACGAGACGGCCCCTTTGTCCCGCAAGGGCGCACGGCTCAAAGTAGTAACAAGGTAGCTAGGGCAGAGTGCGCTTATTCTGTTCGTGGACACTATCATCCGGCTAAGTGATTACACTATCATCTGGCTAAGTGATTACACTATCATCCGGCTGAGTAATGACGTCATGTTTGCCCTTTTTGAGTGAAGCAGAATCAAACTATTCGGCGAATTTAGAAGTCTTGGTCAAGTGTAATCCCGCGGCCATAGGTTTCTGACAGTTGTGCGGACCCCGCGGTGCCCCAGCTCCGCGGTGATTCGGGCCCCTCTCTCTCAGGATCCGTTTTATTATGCTTACATATAAGGCTTCTCTCCTATTTAGGTCCGTTCTACAGGAAATACCGCATGAGAGCTCCCACGTGTCGTCCCCCTGTACTCTATGCATCCCACGATTACCCCTGTGAAAATGAGATTGGCACGCTGCCTGCTATTTCTGGGGCTTGTTGGCCTGTCATGACTCATTCGCATGAGTTTGATGATTTGCCCATCATTTTATATGCTACTTTGCTACTCAAGGCATGAATTACATTCTGTTGACAAAGGTGTTACGGTTGATTTGAGAGCATCAACGACGTTTTCTGTGCTGGGCATTTGACGTAAATCACCAAACTACCTTGTTGATGCCCAATGACCCTATGGCAATACAACCAACAACCTATCACCGATTTTTTTCACCGGCAAGTCCCGTGTTTCCAACAACTACTCAAAAAGTCGAATATTACTTCACCCAAAGATTTCATGACCCACAACAAGCTCCTGGCCCTAGGACTAATCTATTTTCTAATGACTTGATGCAATGCCTGTGTGGGAGCCCCGACATGCGTAGGGCAGACTCCGTGTATGTTTGATCCACATAATAAGTCGGCACTTCGGTCGAGACAACATCAGCCGTAGTTTTCGGCGAAAGCTACGCTAGAGCAAGTTCATATATTTCCACGGGATTTCTCAAGGCTATGGGAATATGCCAGGCTGTTGAAAGGTGCTGGGATTCATGTGCACCGATTTGTTGTTCGAGTTGCATGAGGAGCAAAAAACGCGCCGAGACGGCCTAATGATCTGAGAGGGCGGACTTCGGCGCGGTTCTCGCAAATGAGGGTGTACATATGACACAGCCGCGGACCAATGCAACGAGAAAAGAACAAAGAGAAAAGGGAAAAGTGATGGCAATGTATTTGCCATCATCTTGCGCCCATTCTCGGTGGCGAAGTTACGGCCGTCAAGATCGCGGAGGACAAATCGACGTGTGCAGACGACTATGCTTACGGCGGTGCCTTTTTTTTACAGAGAGGCCGTTTCAGCCCTGAGGAGGAACACATTTTCGTAGTGGCGCCCGGCGGCGAAGACGATCTCCACTCGCCCATCGGCGGCTGCGCGGCAGCTCCGCTTCCACGCGGCTATAGCGAGAATGAGGTGGAGTGTCCATCCACGTAGGAAAAGGCACGCGTCCGCGCAAGGCCACCCTGATTTCCTGCTGAGCTTCGTAAGCAGACGTGCACGGCATTATTATCGGTTGCATAAAAAAAGGCTACCGTCTCATCTCCCAGTATTCAGATACGAAGCCTCGTGGGATTGCCGATGCCAAATCCTTCAAGGTGGGCCGTTACAGGTCATCCCACAACGAAGCTCCTTTTAATTTAGCTCAAGCTCTCCCTGGTGTTAATCTTCTCGGCATATATATCTATATATACGTATGCTTGGTCGTCATCTTCTCGGCATAGATATAAATACGCATGCTGGGTTCATCAGAAGCTTCTCTGACAATACACTTCCAACTTCACCTCATTCTTAACTCGACCTCACCTCAATCCAACCACGCCATCACCATGCACTCGCTATCTCTGTTGCTCGGTGCCGCCGCGGGCGTCAACGCGATCCTCGGCGGCAAAATTGACGCCGTCGTGCTTCCCGGAAACCAGTTCATCTGCGCCAACAACTGCGTCCACAAGCGCGTCTTCTTTAGAACCAGGGCGACGTGCCTCGAGAACGAAACCGTTCTTCTTCTAGGCGACAAAGGCTAGTTCAGCGTCCCTAGCGTCTCCCTCGACTTCCTCTGCCGGGAAGACCCGCTACTTAGGGTGCCGGGCTAGCGCTAGCGTGAGCGCAGGGCCGGCGAGGCGCCCGAGCAGTGTAAGCTCTATCCGCTGACCGACCCTAACGAGATCTACTGCGAATCTAACAGGAATCCAAATGACAAGCTAGAAACTGTGCAGTGGGCGGACGTCGAGAAGCTGCTCGAGGAGGCCGCCGCGGGAGAGGGCTCCTCTACCCCTCAGTAACCCCCGAGCTAAAAATCGCGCGAGCAGTGCGCCAGGGAGGGCTAGCAAGCCTTCGCCAAGTATGACGAGGGATTTGACAAGTGCGACCGGCTCGGCCGCGCTGCTATAAATAGCTGCTTAGCCGGGCAGTAAAGTTAAGACGCACACCGGCCTAGCCGCCGCCGATGCTAGCCGACCCGCAGGGCCGCCTCTACTACTCTTACCTTTTATTTACTTATCCTTAGCCTCGTTATCTTTGTTATTTACTTTCTTATATTAGCCTCGGCGCCTTTACTATTCGCTAGCTTCCTATCCCCCCCCGTAGCTACGTAAGTTAATATAACGTCTCTGACCATGCCCGTCTATCCTCTATATTTAATTTCTCTAGCTCGCTAACGGTATCTAAACCTGCAGATTAGCTGTTAAAGTACCAACCAAGGCGAGCTGCACGTTGCTGTACTTATTGCTAGGTATTATCGCTTTCGATGTGGCCTATGTCTGGCGGAAGTTCATCTACTTTCTTGCCCCTCGCTACTATCATATGTCGTCCCTAATGATGATATATATTTAGCTGCGTTTATTTAAAAATAACATTCCTTATTGATAAAGCATCTATATTATGTGACTATATGCTGTCGTGTGTAGTAAATAAACACCACTAGGCCAATCAGGTAGTTAGTTCGGTCGCCAGCGCTATAGAGTTACACGACACTCCGGAAGAATTCCCCCGGAGGACAATGGGTACGTTGTTAAGCTGTTCATGTTACGTGTCGCTTCTTTAGTCACATACAATTATCTACAAACGGTCATAAAGGCTTTCGCATTCCGGCGTGATAGGAACACAGAGGAATTTAATAGAATTATAGTAGGTATAAAAAAAGCTAGAATAAGCAACCTAATCTAGGAAACTAGAGGACTAGGTAGCTTTATCTAAGATCTCTTTAAAATTACATATACTAGTATTCCTAGACTAGATAGCTCTAATTTTAGTCTACCTATTATCTTACTAGCACCTATAATAGGTAGTAAAGAATAAAATTAAGAAAAGTTTATATTAAGGTTTGCTTAATAACTTAGTTATATTTTAGGTTATTATCTTAAATTATAGCTTTTATTTTATATATTAATAATAAATATAAGTATATATAGGTATATTTATTGTCACAGCTGGTCCGGTCACGGACCTACCCTGCACTGCAGCCACGTGCCCACGCGTTGGACCCTGCATTTTGCTCAGTTCTTCGCAGAATTCTGAACGTAGCTCTTCGAGCTACGTCTTGTACATAGAGCCTGCCCTACCTGAGGAGTGCCTATCCGTAGCAATAGACTGAATCAAGCCGCCCGTGTGCTCCCCATCCTACCTGCAGCCGAACGACCCTGACATTTATATATACATTATCTTTAGTTATCTATTTTTTTATTATTACTTATTTACTTTATTATTACTTTTTACCATATTGTAAATTTAGCTTATATATTATATAGAGTCTCTATATTATATAGAGTATCTATATTATATATACTATATATATATAAGGGCTGCTTACCGCCTTTATAGTGTTTGCCCCGCTCTCGGTTAGATGAACTCTGGTTGAGGTAGTTACAGATGAGCTGTGTGCCCCAAAATCTGTTGCCCCCACCCCGGCCAAGCCACATAGTTAGCCTACATCCAACCAGCTTCTTTCCTCGTTGAATGCCCCCCCACGCTGTCTCGGAACAAGATTGTCTGTCGTGAACACGGCGGCAAAAGTTTTTGCCGCTCTGGGAGCAATGTACCATTGGTTCTTGCGCTCTCGATTGCGCTCAGTAGTGATTTAAGTCAGTCGTGAGCTGCCGTCCTCTTGTTGGGCGAGCCGTGTCACGAACTACACTGCCTTGGCTGCGTAGACATTTGCTTCAAGTCTGTGGAGGTGCATAAATTTATACATTGTCTCAATCATTCATCATCCTCGTGCGACGCGGTCCAGCATCATCATGCATCATTCTCACGCAGCCAGTAGCGATGCACAGGCATTTTGGGCTCCTGGAACTGTCATCCTCGGAGAATGTGAGTGTTTTTGTCTAATTAAATCCTTTTCCAAGTCACTGCACATGTATTTTGATGCTAATCATCTGCGATGGCGAAGCTGGTGATTCCACCTCACCGCCGAGACTGCATCCGGTCCCTACCGCTGACCCGGACGAACCTTTAAACTGGTCTTTTTGGAGAAAGACTGTGCACTTCACCCTCGTCAACTTTTACGTCTTTCTTGCCTTTGTTCAGCTCGACATTGGCGGGGCGGCTTGGAAGGCTTACCGGCAAGAGCTGGGATTCACCCCCAATTTCCTGAATGCCAGTGTGGCGTACAACTACGTGGGCCTGGCCTGCGGTTGCATCTTTTTTGTGCCCTTCATCTACAAATACGGACGACGACCAGTCTACCTATTCAGTGTCGTCTTACAGCTGGCGTCTTGCCTTTTGAGCGCGCTCACGCGAAATGAAGGCGACTTCATCGCTGCCAATCTCGTCACGGGCCTGGGTGGTGCCATTAGCGAGACAATTGCCCAAGTCACGATTGCCGACATCTATTTCGTGCACCAGCACGCGTCAATGAATGGATGGTTCCTTTTTTCGCAAACCGCCGGCGCTACCCTCGGGCCCGTTGCTTCCGGCTATGTCGTCGATGGCCAGGGCTGGCGATGGATGTGGTGGTGGTGCGTTATATTGTTTGGCGTTAATCTTGTACTCGTCATCTTCTTCTTTGAGGAGTCCAAGTACACGATCCCAGCTTACTATCAGACAACCACCACGCCTTCAGAGGAAAAGAACAAGCATGGCTTGGAACATGTCGAGGATTCGAAAGATGGCGGCCTCGAAAGCATCAACAATGGCGGCAACAGACCTCGCCGGAAAACTTATCTCCAGCGACTTGCGTTGGTGACCACATCTCGAGGCTCCATCTGGAGAGACTTTTATCGACCTCTCATTCCGCTGTTCAAATTTGCCGCGGTAGCATACGCTGCGGTTACGTTTGGGACCCTCTCCATCTCTTTTGCCGTCATTTCTTCCATCATGGCCACTTACTTGTTTGAACCGCCATACAACTTCTCCGCGTCTTCTGTCGGTCTCATTAATCTGTCCCTTTTTGTGACTGCGATTCCCTCTCTACTTTTTGGCGGCTATGGAAACGATCGTCTGATACTCTGGCTATCGAAGCGCAATCGCGGCATCTTTGAGCCCGAGATGCGCCTGTGGTTAGCGTTGCCCATGGCAATTGTATGCCCTGGTGGTATTTTGCTGAGCGGGCTGACGATCAATTATGTGAGTATCAAGCGTATAGAGACAATCCTGAAGCTAATTACTCACGCGGTCGTAGGGCGGACCTTGGCCGTTGATCGCGGTCGGACTCGGCTTATTTGGTTTTGGTCTAAACGTGATAAATGACGCAGCCCTCTCTTATGCAATGGACAGTTACAGTGAAGTATGTATTTTCCGAGCAATCTCTCGCTCCATGAGTCTTCTGATAGCTTACTCTACATCACAGATTATCGGCTCTGCCATGGTCGGAGTTGTGTTTGTGCGCAACGCCGCTTCCATCGGAATTATCTTTGGCCTCACGCCCTGGATCGAGAAATCCGGTATTCGCAACGTCAATATTGTCATGTTTTGTTTCTGCTTCCTCATTCTTCTCTTGCCTGCTGTATTGCTCATATGGGGCAAGAAAGCTAGGCTGGCGTCTGCGGTGTCTTACAAAAGACTCTCTGAGAAGCAATCATCTCACACGTCCTAAATAGTGCATCACCCTTGATTATGGCTTCATGTTGGACGTCAACGAGGAATTTATGTAGCGAGTTGTACCAAAAATTGTAAAAGGAAGATGATTTTGAGAAGCAGAAGCGGTGACATGGCTACTAAGACGGGCTAGCTTCTCCAATTGATTGCGCCTTCTCGGCACGGACTTTACGCTAGAGCATATCCCGTGCTGCCAAAACAAGTTCATTAGCCAAGTTTTCAGTGATCCTGACTCGGCTTCTCTGGCAATCGGCTGCTATACTAGATAAAAAAGCATCTATTAACCGATACGTGAGCAAGTCCTTTGTTGCAGAAATTGTCAATGCCTAGTTCTTCCCTCCACCCTAACCAAGTTTAGCGTGCACAATCTCGAGGGCACCCATATATTTAACAATTAGTTAAGCGTAGACGGCTATAATGTGCCAAATTGAAATCCTCCGTGCAAATTAAGGTCCTGTACAGAGGTATGATTACTGTGGTTGTGGTTCATTGTGATTTGTAAGAGCTGCGAGGCGCGACCATCAGCAATACGGCTTCATATTGCTCCCTTTTCTAAGTGACCGACGGAGCAAATCAGACGGAGCAGGAATAAAACAGACATGCCGACCACTAGGCGTAACTACCCGCCGCCGTCCATAAAGTCCGACTCTCACCTTGGGGCTGTCGGCTCACCATGGTTAAATAGAAATGCCGCCGCTACAACCCCCATTCATTGGTTCCGTCCCATCTTGTCTTCCCAACCTCGATCAATTCAGTCCCACTGCCAGGTAATAATAATTAATAATCCCTCAACTTTCAAAGGATGGTGCACCACGACGTCCGACCCTTTCAAATAGCCATCCCAGAACGCAGCTTGGAGGTATTGCAAAAGAAGCTGGAGCTTGCGACTTTTCCCGAGCAAGTGAGCTTCTCGGATTGTGACAAGTACGGTGCATCTCTGTCCGAAATAAAGCGACTTACCGAGTACTGGAAGAATGGCTTTGATTGGCGGGCGCAAGAGGCGAAACTGAACAAATTGCCACAATTCACAACCACCGTCAGTGTCGACGGCTTTGGAGATTTCGATATTCATTTTATTCATCAGCGCGGTAGCCGAGAAGATAGTATTCCTCTGTTATTCTGCCATGGCTGTTTGTCTCCCTGCCAGAGAATTCTTTTTTTTTCTCCCTTGTTTGCTTCAGACTAACGTTGATGCACAGGGCCCGGCAGCTTTCTTGAGGTTGTCAAGATACTACCGCTGTTGACAGACCCCAAAGACGGGCCATCCTTTCATGTTGTCGCTCCGTCGTTGCCTAATTATGGCTTTTCAGACAAGGTCATGGACGAAGGATTCAGCGTGTCTCAATATGCGCAGGCAATACACAAAGTCATGTTGAACCTAGGCTACAACAAGTACGGTGAGTAGTATTGGATCCATGTCGGTGTACTGGTTCTTGTCTAATGATAGAAACACAGTCACTCAAGGCGGCGACTGGGGCTTCTTTATTACACGTTCTGCCGGTGCCCAGTTTCCGGATCACTGCTTGGCATCGCACATCAACATGCAAATGATTCAACCTTCAGTCTCAACAACGGGTTGGTTCGGGTTGTACAAGCTCTTGGGCTGGTTCAGCAAGCAGGAAAGTGACGGCCTATCACGGCTCGGCTGGTATCTAAAAGAAGGATCTGGTTATCTGGCCCAGCAGAGCACCAAGCCCTTGACCATTGGCTATTCCCTCGCCGACTCTCCCGTTGGTTTGCTAGCATGGATATACGAGAAGCTCAAAGATTGGACAGACAATTATCCCTGGACGGATGACGAAGTCTTGACATGGGTATCCATCTATCAGTTTTCCAAGGCTGGTCCGGCAGCGAGTGCTCAGATTTACTACGAAGCCAGGCACGCAAAGAGCGCCGATGCAAAAAAGTCCATGGGTTATGTACCCGTGCCGCTTGGCATTTCGTCCTTTCCCCGGGATATTTCCCCGATTCCTCTGTCTTTCTGCAAGGCACTAGGCCCACTGGTATTTCAGAAACGTCACGAACAAGGTGGCCATTTTGCTGCATACGAAAGACCCGAGCTCCTTGTTGGAGATATCCAGGCCATGTTTGGAGTTGGAGGTGGCGCATACCATGTCGCCGAGAGACTAAGGGCGGCTGTCAGTGCCAATCTTTGAAATCATTTTGAAATTGCTGTCCATCTAGATAGCTCTCATTGCTGTATTCTATCAATTTTTGCGACCAACTATACGCACGACGATTATAGCCTTTGTGACGCAGAAGCTGTCAGACTGTATCACGGCGATTTTGGTCGAACGCGGGGTAAACAGTCCCCGGAGCGGCGGGATCTGGGGCAGTGCCGGTCAATGCGGGGAAATCTCGGGGCCCCAGGTGATGGGCTTCGACACCGAAAGCGACGACATAGTTTGGCGGAAAAAACGGTCAAGAAGTCTGTATTTTATTATGATCGCTTTCATAGGTGAGGTATATACTGCAGAGTTGACTGCTTTAAAGTGCAGGGAGGATGGCACGAAGGAAATAAAAATGTAGCCCTTTGTAACTTTGAGATGCTACATACATATGACTGGGCGGCGGGAGCCATACAGCCTATACCCTACATATAGTACACTAGATGTTGCGCTGAAAATAGGAACAATTTCGACGCGCATTCGCTTCCCAGTGAAGCTCTGCCCATTGGATTTAACACTTATAGTTTAAGCTTTGCCTTTGCCATCATGAGTTCCTGTCGCATAGCCAAATCAGCCATGATTTCTTCGCTGCCGCCGCCAACAACCTATACAACAAAAAGTCAGCCAGTGATTTTTTTTTAAAAAAAAGATACCATGATATGTTTTTTTTTAAACTTACCAGCATGCGCAAGTCGCGACTGATTTGCTCCACGGTAGCTCCCGGTCCGCTCCTCTGATATCCAGCACCGCCAAAGATTTGCTGCGCTTCGCGGGCGGCGAGCTCCACCATCTGGCCGCCTTGCACTTTCAGCAGAGCAAGCCGACCCGCGACGTCTGGGCTCTGCCAGCCCTGCGGCGACGTTCCAATGTGGTATGCGAGCTGCTCCATCCATGCCCAGTGCGCCTCGACTCGATGCGCAACCTCGGTCAGCTTGCGCCGGATGACTTGGTACTGCATCAGGGGCTTGCCAAAGGTTTCCCTCTGTAGGGCGTACTGAAAGGCCAGCGCCAGGCACGTGCGGCTCTTGCGGTTGCATTGCACGGCGAGGAGGAAGCGCTCGCGGTTGAAGTTGCGCATAATCATGGGGAAGCCCTGATTTTCTTTGCCGAGCAGGTTCTCGGCAGGGACCTTGACATTGTCCAGGTCGACAAAGGAGGCACCGCCGGCATTCTGTCCGCTGTTTTGGATCTTGTCAACGGTGATGCCCGGCAGATCCATAGGGATGACAATGACGGATATGCCCTGCGCGCCTTCGCCGCCGGTTCTCACGGCAGTCGTCATGTGGCTGGCCCAGGGCGAGCCAGTAATCCATTTCTTGACGCCATTGACAATGTAAAACTTGCCATCGGCCGTCTTTTCCGCCGTGGTTCTCAGCTGCGCAACATCAGAGCCGCCTGATGGCTCTGTGATGCCGAGACAAAAGCTTGTTTCTTTGGTAAATAGCCCCGGTAGCCACTTGGACTTTTGCTCTTCTGTTCCGAAATGGATAACGGGCGGTGCGCCAATGGACGACGCTCCTCCTAGGGCAATGTTCACGCCGCCTTCGATCCTCGACGTCTCGTCCGCAATGATGAGCATGTGGAATGCATCAAGCTGGCCCGGGGGCAATCCGGACAAGCTGGGCACACTGGCTGGTCGATACTGAACAGGAACATCATCCAGACCGATTCCGGATTTCAGCCAAGCCTTGGAGGCCTCGACTGGTGCTTCTCCCTTTTCTTCCCATTCGAAAGCGTACGGCAACACGTTTTCATCTACGTATTTGCGTATATTGTCCCGTAGGCGGCGATGGCTCTCGTTGTAGTATGGAGATCGCAGTGAAGAATACCAGGCGGGCTCACTCCAGGGGACATGCTGGCTCAGCTCGAGTTTAGGGTCCGGCGCCATGATGTAATTGAGGTTATGCGACGTTGTGCGTGTTCAAAGGGGCAATGGGCCAAACTGGCGAGGTTTGACGCAGCGGTGTAGAAGCTGTAATAAATTCAAGACACTGAGATGGGTTGCCGAGGCTCTAGCTCGGTACGCTAAAACACCCCGCAACCGTCATCGGCTTGGTGGCTATATGGTCCTGTCAGCCAGCCAGTTACCGGATAACTACCTACCTTATTAGCGAAAAGTTTGGTGCCCCAAAGTAATTTACCTGGCCACGTTGACCTCGAAGCTGTAGCCTAGTTCTAAATGCGACGGCTAACATTTCTAATCTTTGCTTCCTTTTCCGTTCTATCTTTCCAACGCTGCCCTTGGATTTTTGGCACTGTACAGCCGCTAGCGGCATACGAAATATGATATAGGCGGCCTCGATGTCGCCCGAGGCGCTATCCCACTGCCCGCCGCAGAGTAGCTAGAGAGGTTCACAAAAAAACAACAAAGTATTTCGGTATTTCAGGATATGCTAGGTATATACATTTCGATATACAATATGTACTGGATGATTTGATATATGTATAGTTCAAAAACTGCCACAGGTCAGTAATGAGCTGGCGCAGTAGTTCCATGCTTTGGGTAACACTAACAACGAAATGCCGACTTGGTCTCTGCGACAGTGTTCATTCGCTTGCCGCAATAGGCATCTTGTCGTTGGCATTGTAGTGCAAATTGCGGTTGTCCCTTACAGGCTTGGAAGCCTCCCGGTGCTGAAAGCTGGCAGCAGCCTCGGCGACGGGCAAGTTCTTGCTGTACTCGAGGCCAGTCAAGTCCTTGTACGGCTTGCTTTTATCGGTCGTATAAGCCTTTGGTGCCGCGAATGCGGCGCCAAACAGAGCAAAAACCAGAGCAGAAAAAGGCTTCATGTTTGCGAGTCAAAAAAAACCGAACGAAGAATAGGGGGAAAAAAAAAAAGAATCATCATCCGCTTATACACAGACGGCCTTTGCAGTTCACTAAATACCACAGGCACAAGAGCAGAGAAAGATGCTGCGGGCTGATCACCCATCGTCTGACCAAAAGGGCCGGGCCTACAGGCGTAGTGGCGCGTGCAGGGGTGCATTTGACCGAGAAGCCCCCCTCAATCTCGACCACTGGTTGGTGTGGGGGTCGATCGAAGGGAACATGTCATGCTCCTAGTTGCAGAGCTTCCACTGGCAGAAGAAAAAAAGGCTAGTTTGGCGCCATGGCACAGTGCTTGGAGTGCTCAAATTTCTTTATTCCATGTTTCACTCTGCTGTCGGCTTCCGGCGCGTTGCTCAGGTGGGAAACCTCACTCCGGGGCGCCCCCATCAGATGACATGCGCGTGCGGGCGCGCCACCACGGATTGTCACTGTCCACCTTCCCTAACAAGTGCTACAGCCCGATCTTGACAGCGAGCATGTTTCTGGACATGAAGCCAGTGACAAAGAGCCAAGCCTCTCGCCGACCGTTGTTTTGCGCCGGGTCTGTTGCAACAAGGACTGCGGCGCTCGCGGTTCTAATATAATCCGCATTGTCTTGGAGCAAGAGCCGTGCTTTCCAACTCGTTTTTCCTCGTTTGGACTTGGGTGAGGACCGGTCCTGCAGGTGCCATATCATTACTCCATCTCTGGCATCGGCAAGCCAGCTATTGTGAGCGAGGTTTATAGCCTTGGAGAGACCCGCAAGAACGAAGCCGCTGGCATCGTAGGTGTCGTTGGCATACGGGTCTACAAAGTAGGTTGGGTTATCCAATGTTGAATCCGCTTGAAATGTGTCAACAACGTCAACAGTGACTTGGCCGGCAGTGGTCTTGAGCTCGCCAAAGTAGACCTCGCCGCTCACAGCACTGGCGAGGACAACCTCGTCGGGTGTCCTGCCACGACCAAGGCCATTATTGTTGTGCAGCCCGGTGAGAGCCACATTCGCCTGGACCTTGGCTGTCTCATTTTGTTCGTTTGTATCGATTTGGAATTCCACGTGAATGGTATTTGACCACGTGGCGCCAGAATACAAATCTTCCACCACTCGCATCAGACCGTCGCGGTAGAAGTGGTCGTTTGTGACGAGGAAAGACGTGGTAGACAATGCCAGAATGTCGTTTGGTGTATGTATCAAGTCATGTTTAACGGTGCGTATATGCCGTACAAAGTCGGCTCCGATCGTATGGTGAAACAGCTCAATCACCGAATCCGCTTTGGGCGCCAGCGAATCTTGGGCTTGATTCGGTCGATGGTTGACGGCAAAGACAAAGACGGCCTCGCCAAGTTTTGCCTGAGGGTCGTCGATGATGTCGATGCCGTGTGTAACGAATGGTCCAGAGAATCCTTCAAATCGAAGACGCTTTGCTTTCATTCTCTGACAAACAGACTGTTAGTGTGGCCGCAAAAACAATTCACGCAATTGGAAAATGGATAACGGACCTGCGGATCTATAACCGTAATGGCTCCTGGAGTTTGTGCGGCCTTGCTCGCATCTTCCAGGATGGCAAGTGGTGGAAACCAAGAGTGTCTAGCTTCCCATGAAGCCTCGCAGGCTGTAAAAAGTAAACCACTGGCTAGATGATGGTGGAGATCCTCGCAATGAGGCGTGTCTGGTATTCGGATGGCTTGTAGCCCCTCGTCCGCGATGGTGCATTTCTCTGCCCTCAAAACACCAGTGATGCGCAAGGTCCGGTATATGCTTCCGAGATTGATATAGCCAGCAATCACTGCTATAATCACTGCAATGAGTGGCGCCAATAAAACCTTGCTTCCTGCCATGATCTTGTTTGTTGCAGAGTTCCGCAGAAATCCGGCCGACGCTCACGAGGGCGGGGTTTGGCTTCAGTTGCAGTGGGTTGCCCTTTTTTACTTGGCGATCTGCACCACACTGTCGGCAAAGACTAATGTTTGGTCTGTTGTCCATCTAGAGCTAGGCAAGCTCGGTATAATCTTTCCCTTGTTCCGAATTGCCTACTTGTTAGTCGTTTTAATACCCACCTTGGCTTGCGCAAACTCTTGATCGCAAAGTCTAGGTGACTCTTGGCAGACTTTTAACGTTGAACAAGGTTCCTATACAGCGATATAGCAATTGAATCATAATTATTGCTCCATCAAATTGGGTAGGGATTAGCAACTCTATGGTCAAATCTTTCTTCTTATCAGTGCAACTTTTGCTGTGCTTCAAGAAACCTTGCAAATTAGTCACACAACTAGCACAATGGCCTCCAATTCCGGCTACTGGAATCAAGTTCCGATACATTTCATCTGGCGCAACTCCATTCGGCTCCGTAACCCCAGACTATCCTTCTGTTAGTTTCTGTTAGTTTCTGCTAGCAGCAATACAAGTGTTCTGTTATAGCCGTGATCTGACAAAAGTATTGCTTACGATAAGAGTCGGAGTCGAACTTATTGGCGTACACTATTGGATTCGAAACAGTCGCCCATGCGATTTTCTTACCATTCCTCGGCGTGGCGGTAGCGGCTAACTACGGGAGTAGCGAATCTCAAATGCCGAACGATTAGTTACCACCTAAAGGGCGGGGTGCGAAAGCCGGCCTTGCAGGTTGATGTTACACTATTCAGGGCATTCTAATAACGCAAATGAGTTGTTTATCTTTTGGGCTCAGCTCAAATAAATTCCAACTATTAAGCTCAACATTTTTAATTTTGCACTCCTGATCGAGGTTATAATAGCGCCCATCTGCGATCGTTGGGCTAGTTTATTACCTTTCATTGACAACACGATTTGACGCCAACTCACTCAGTCATTCGTACAGCGAACAGCCATGTCAGCGAAAAACAGACATAATAAACAAAGTGTTCAGTCCTCGGACGAGGGTATTGATTATGACTCACAGCAGCAAGTATATTCCATTGATTGTGAACCCCCAGGTATCCGACTGAATACTGACCAGCTGCAACAGACCTGACCCCGCCGCTGACGCCATCGTGGACGAGGCCAGAATGAGACTCAAAATGGACATTTTCCTCATTCCTCTCGTCAGTCTAATCTATTGTATGTGCCCAGCCAAAACTACGTCCACCACTTCTTGCTGATCTGTCGACTATTCTAGTACTATCGTTTATTGACCGATCTAATATTGGTCAGTATTCTCTCAAACCCCGAAAGCATTTGCAAGTCTTAACAAACAACTAGGCAATGCTGCCATCGCGGGCATGCTAAACGACTTGGACATGCATGGCTTTGACCTGAATGTCTCATTGACCATATTTTTCATATCCTATATTCTGTTTGAGATTCCTGCTAACCTCTTGTGCAAATGGATTGGCCCTGGGAGGTTTCTCCCGGGGGCTATTCTTGGCTTCGGGGTTCTCACCATCTGCACAGGACTAGTGCATTCCTTTTCTGCCCTGTGCGGCGTTCGGTTCCTACTCGGAATCTTTGAGGCTGGCATTATGCCTGCCCTTGTCTATTTTCTGTCGCGCTGGTATACACACAGTGAATTGACTTTTCGAGTGTCACTTTTCATCATCTCAGCATCACTCGCTGGGGCCTTTGGGGGCCTTCTTGCGTCTGCTATCCTGTCGATACCGCATCTCGGTAGTTTGTACTCTTGGAGATTGATATTTGTCATTGAAGGTGTGTGTGTGTGTGTGTGTTCACTAGTCTTTGAGAGCAGCATTGCCTTGCTAACTCCTCCCCCCACACAAGGCTTGGCATCATGCGTGCTGGGAATCATTTCCTTCTTCACGCTGCCCGATCGACCGGAAACCGCCATCTGGCTTTCTGCTGAAGAAAAAGTCTTGGCCAAGGCCAGGCTAGATGCAGAAAGATACGCTACCGACGAATCGGCTTCCACATTCAGCTGGGCCAAGGTGCGATTGGGCATCTTTAATCCCGTTGTTCTTGCGACCACTGCGATTTTCCTACTCAACAGCATCACCGTGTATGGCAGCTCCTTCTTTCTTCCGACAATTGTTAAAACCATTTTTCCGGAGAAGTCAGTCCGCATGCAGCAGCTCCTTACTGTTCCACCATATTTTGTCGGTGCAATAGCTTGCGCACTGACAAGCTTCTGGAGTTGGAAAGCACAGCGGCGCATTGTCTTTATGATCTTCTGTGCGCCATTGACTGTTGTTGGATACATCATGTTCTTGGCGACGACTAATCAGCATGTCCGCTATGGGGCAACATTTTTGCCCTTTCTCGGCATCTTTACGTACGGAGCGTTGACCAACTCCCACGTCGCCGCCAATGTTGCGTCAGATACAGCCAGGACAGCCGCCATTGCCGTCAACGTGATGGGTTGTAACATTGGTGGCCTAGTGTCGGCATGGGCATATCTGCCTTTTGACTCACCCAACTACAGAATTGGTAATGGACTGAATCTGGCTGCACAAGCAGCGATGATTGTCATTGCGACGTGCCTCCATTATTGGACCGAGTACGACAATAAGCGACGGGACCAGCGACAGGCAACAGACCCAGAAGACATTGGTACACCAAACATGGACACATTAGACTGGAAACACCCCGATTTCAGATGGCGCAAATAACAAAGATGCACATGGGGCAATTGAATCTACACTAGCTATGAACTCCTTCATGAAATTGATGTGACAATAACGGTCATCAGACGTCTTATTGAGCATTGTTCTGCTTACGACCCTTGATGTCATAACGGTCAAGCTCCATGACTTTGGTCCAAGCTTTGATGAAATCTTTTGCAAATTTCTCCTTTGCATCACTGGAGGCATAGACCTCAGCCACAGCGCGGAGCTCAGGGTGGGAGCCAAAGATGAGATCCGCACGCGTTGCCGTGTACTTTGCCGTTCCGTTATGGATATCGGTAGACTGGTAAAGCTCCCCATCACTGTTTGCCACTGGAGCCCACACATTGGCAATGTCAAGCAGGTGTACGAAAAAGTCGTTGGTGAGCTTGCCAGGGCTGTCCGTCAAGATGCCATGCTTTGAACCATCAAAGTTGGCATCGAGGGCGCGGAGACCACCAATGAGAACAGTCAGCTCGGGTGGGCTCAGATTCAAAAGAGAAGCCCTGTCAACAAGAAACTCCTCGGTGAGAGAGCGGCTCGTACCCTTGCCGTAGTTGCGGAACCCGTCAGCCTGGGGCTCGACTGGAAGACTGTTAGCACGATACTGGGTGAGATGAAGGCTGAGTAGCAGTACTTACGTAAAGCAAATGCAGCCTCGTCAGTTTGGTCCTGAGTCGCATCAACACGGCCAGGAGTAAAGGGAACAGTAATGTCAAGACCAGCATCGGTTACGGCTTTTTCAACAGCAGCTGTACCACCAAGGACAATAAGATCGGCGAGTGAGACCTGCTTGTCCTTGTTGTTCGAGTTGAACTCTTTCATAACTCCTTGAAGCTAAGAAAGGAACATGAGAGTTAGCGAATGATTCCACTTATTGAAGGGTAAGTGCACATACAGCGGCAATGACAGTCTTCAGACGGCTAGGATTATTGACAGCAAAGTTGTTTTGAGGCTTCAGAGCGATACGGGCGCCATTGGCGCCGCCACGCTTATCGGAGATGCGGAATGTGGAGGCTGACCCCCAAGCGGTGGTTACCAAGTTGGAGATGTTCAGCCCAGAGGCAGAAAGAATTTGCTTCTTCAGGTGCTTCACATCGGCATCGTCAATGACGTGCTCATTAGGAGCAGGAAGGGGATCCTGCCAGATCAGAGGAGCCTTCTTGGGAACCTCGGGGCCTAGGTAGCGTGCCAAGGGGCCCATGTCACGGTGAAGAAGCTTGTACCAAGCAAGAGCAAACTTTTCCGTAAGATAGTCAAAGTCGTGGAGGAATGTCTGTGATATATTCTTGTAGATGGGATCGTATCGGAGGGCAAGATCGCTCGTGAGCATCGTGGGCTTGTGGAACTTGTGTGGGTTGAAAGGATCAGGGTGAGAGGCGTTTGCATTGGTAGCCTCCCACTGTTTGGCGCCGCCGGGGCTAGTAACAAGAGTCCAGTTGTTGTTCATGAGGGAGAAGAAAAAGTCTACCCAGTCATTAGTAGGCGAGACAAAGACAAGGTGGTTACGACCACAACGTTACCATTTGCCCATTTGGTGGGGGTGCGCGACCAAATGACCTCCAAACCACTTGTGAAGCTGTTATTTCCGACACCAGACTGGAAGCTGTTCTTCCAGCCGAGACCCTGCTGCTCGAGAGGAGCGGCGTTGGGATCCGGTCCAATGTTGTCGTTGGACACGGCACCATGAGTCTTGCCAAACGCATGGCCGCCAGCAATGAGAGCGACAGTCTCCTCGTCATTCATTCCCATGCGTCCAAAAGTCATGCGAATATCTTTGGCAGAAGCGATAGGGTCGGGGTTGGCATCTGGGCCCTCGGGATTCACATAAATTAGGCCTATGTATTCTGTCAGCACATGTCATTTACCAGTGAGTGGTTCATTGTGCGGCCTACCCAGATTCGAGGCGCCAAGAGGGCTCTCTAGCTTATCGGCTCGTTCATTGATGTCTGTGCTGGCGTTGTAGCGGTCTGCGCTGCTCTTCTTGCTGGGGACAAACTCATGCTCGCTGCCCCAGTAGATTCCCTCGTCAGACTGCCAGGTGTCGACGCGGCCGAATGCGAAACCGTAGGTCGGGAAACCCATATTCTCCATGGCGACATTGCCGGCGTACACAAAAAGATCAGCCCAGGACAGAGAACTTCCATACTTTTGTTTGATTGGCCACAGCAGTCGTCGGGCCTTGTCAAGACTGGCATTGTCTGGCCAGCTGTTGAGGGGAGCAAAGCGCTGCTGGCCCATACCGGCTCCTCCACGGCCGTCAATCATGCGGTAAGTACCAGCATTGTGCCAGGTGAGACGAATCCAGAAAGGGCCATAGTTGCCGTAATCAGCAGGCCAAAACTTTTGGGAATCGGTTTGCAGCTTTGTAAGGTCTTTTTTGAGTTGCGCGACTGGAGGAGAAGACTGAGTTAGAACGGGGCTTTTCTTGATAGTTTTGCGCAGGCTCTCTCACCATCAAGCTTGGCGAACGCAGTAGCGTAGTCAAAGTCTGCATCGAGTGGGTTGGCCTTGTCGGCGTTCTGGCGAAGAACGGCCAAGCTTAGCTCGCAGGGCCAGAAGTCTTTGCTTCGCGTGCCACCGCCGGCAACTTTGCTTTTGCGTGAGCATTGTCCAAAATCAGGGCTGTCAGGGCTAGCACGGCCCTGTATAATGGCTTCGGGGTGCAGTATGGGAGCATCCGCGCGAGCCTGGTTCCCTTGAATGTATGGACAAGACACCGCAGCCGTGAATGGCAGTACAGTCACTGCGAGCGCTAAAAGCTTGGGAGAGGGCATTGTGAACAGCTACCTAGGTAGGTAGGTAGGGCTGAGGGAAAGCGTAGAACTTGACAATGGCACAATCCACTGGAGCTCTCAACCGCAAAGTTGTTGTTGAGCGGGCGGCATCTATATATAACCAACCAGCACCCTGACCAAACACCGAAAAAGGCCCGGTCTCCTGCATCTACCAATGGGGCAGTTTTATGCTGATTTCTTGTAGAGTGTAATTCGTAATGGGTGGTGGTGAGAGGGGACTTTGCCATGCGCTGCATCATTCGCATCCCATACAGCACCCTGCAAGACAAAAACAGGCTCCACTGGGCTAGTACATGGTTGGTGAGGTATAGACCTGCAGGTGCGCCATATCACACGTTCAGGGCGCTTAAGCCAGAAATAGTACCATGCAGCTCCGTGGACCGAACGAAGCCCTTCCAGTCTTCCAGGTGATTCCAAACTGCTGGCTTGTATGCATGAACCGGTGCCTTTGCGGGAAGCACGGTCATCTGTAGACAAGCATGATACAACAAGTCTGCGCCCAGCTGCGGTTTCTGCTTTGGAATTTCTTTGTAGTAGCTTCGGTATCTGTGCTTAGGCTGTGCTTAGGTACCTACCCAGCAGCCCCCAACAGCCCCTCTGCGGGCGTGGCTGGGTCGATCGCCGCTCGCCGCTGTTCGATCTGAACCAGGCCCAAAAGAACAAGGTACTTTGCCAGTAAAAATTTCGATCAAGCCTCAAAGCCATATTTCTGCGCGTCCAGGATATTGACAAGAAAAGGCCCGTTGCCACCAAAGCCAACATCCGCTACCGTTATCTGTACATTCTCGCAAATTCAATTTGTTGTTCATGCGGCCGCCCTTGCCAATTCGCATCAGCCCACACGGATGTTGTGATCAGCGGTGACAAAACAAGCTGACCTTTTTGAGAAATACTGTGGATCTGCTTTCAGCGACCGGCCAGTCTGAAGCTTCCTTCTTGATGACCCGACTGTGCTTGGCGAAAAACGAGGAACGTAAAAATGTGCAGACCGAATCTCGGGCCCACTCCCCCCTCCTTCCTCCTTCCACCAACCCGCAGATTACTTGTGTCGTTCGGCTTGCACATTATTGGCTGCGGGACGCATTGCACGAATCAAGAGTTTTTTTTAAAAGCAGGGCTATGCGTTTAGACCCTTGAACCCCCAGAGGTCCCGCAAAACAAAGTCAAATGGCTTTCCTCTAATCAGCACCCACGCGATTGTCAGCACCTTGATACCCTGTGCAGCCACAATCAAGTTATTACTGACTGATAGCAATGATTCCACACTGGGATTAATGCCGCCGAAAGGGTTTTTCATGCAGATTTACTCTACGGATTATCCAAGGGAGTAGTCACGCTAAGTCATCTGTCAGGCTCGGCCAATGTCACACCGTTTTTGTCTTGCTTTGTACATCTTATTCTCGACCTGTGGTCTCAGTCATTTGCCAGGGGTGCTCTTGGCAAACTTGAGAGCCCGCCATGCGGGTGACAGAATAAATGGCCCATAATGAGGGTAATGAAGTTTAGCTACGTAGATTTAAACAACTCTCTATAAACTCTAGAAAATATCTATTTATTTCTAACAATAATTAAATTAAACTTTAGTGACTAAATTATATCTTATGTCTTTTAAAAAAAAATTTCAATTTTCTACTATTTTCTATCCTAAACACCTTTCGCTAAGTATTGTAGATGCCTTGGCGAAATTGGGCCAGCTCTTTTGTCACCCACTTGCCCGCCTGTCAGACTGTGACTACGCCACCTCTAATCCGTATTATTATTATTGTCATTTTTTGCACAACTTGGCATTCGTACCTATCTATATACCCAATAAGGCGCTATAGCTTTCTGCTTCTGCAAGCCCATGTGCCCACCTCGTGATTCAATTTGCAAAGCATACCCCATGTGGCTGTCAGAATCAGCACCGCCACTGGAGAGGATTGGTCGTGCATATTATATTGAGGCGCACGGCACGCATCACACCACTTCCGCGGCTGAAGCCGGGTCTGCATGGAGCGCTTGTCCCTCGTACAGGCGGTTCAGCACCCCATTGGCAGCTTTGGGTGACACAGCAATTTATTAAGACACCATTAAAGACACTTGGCCCAGGTGCGTATGGTGTGACTGTACGAAGGGAAAGAGAGCAAAAGACTGAGGTGAACTGCCAACTGCCTCGACGAGAACCTCCCCCGCCCCGACTCCGCCTGGCGGGGGAGGGACAGCGCAAAATATATTGTCGGAACAGCCATAAATAGCAGTCGATAGCTGTGGGGGTTCTCGCTAAACGATGAATGTCAATTTGAATTTATTACCATTATCATGCTCCGCTGCTTGCCCACAGACTTTTCCATCATTAAGTCACGATGCTTAGCAACAAGCACCGTTGTCTCTGTCCGTGCTACTGGGCCTCTACAGTACCTGTGCCGCAATTCGGTTCTTCAATTATGGTATGACTATCCTCCAGCATCAATGATTTACATTTCAAGATTCCTAGAAATACACATTGCAATGAGCGAGCGACAGTCGACTAATATGGAGGGCGTCACTGGCTATATAAATGTATAGAACATGAGCAGGTCACGATTAGCTAAGAAGTGCAATGCTAAACTACAGACGTCGTAGTTTCCTTCGCCGTAAATTCTGTAATTTACTTGTGAAGTTCCTGGCGGAAGTCATCTTCGAAACTTGCTCACGCAATTCAGACCTCTTCTTTGCCATGAGCTTCGAGGGTACCCAGCCGAACCGTTGTAAGGCCACGAGCTGGTCTTGCAAACGGTGAGAGCCATGCGAAGACGAACGTCTAAAGGGTTCTGACTTTGCTAGGCTAAATTTAGAGCCGCAAGGATATCTCTGCACTGTGAGGTAGATCCCTAGGCGAAATCCCCGACACTTCTTTGCCCAGGAGGAAGGATCGCATCCGAAAACGACCTTCAGGTGTTGCTTATACTGAAGGAGTGCAGAAGGGCCTCCGGAGACAACCCAGCGTCATCTGCTAGCTCTCACATCATTAGTCTCATGACATTGAAGTAGATCGCATCAGTCGCGTGTTCAAGATCGAACCAGTGCAGAACCGTTGCTACTGGTAACGGTTCAAGATCGCCTGCCGCATCTCTCAAACCAGGCGTGACTAGAACTGCCCCTGCAGGCGTTCGAGAATGCCTCCTCCCAGCCCCAGCGAAGAGATACGCACTGACGATCCTTGTTTGCAGCTCTGCTTGCTTCCCGGTGTACCTGACCGATGGAGCTGTTGGTTTTCTGGCATACTCCACGAAACCAGAAACACGACAAAGATATCTTGCAATAGGATGGTGATGGGACTACGGACAACTGTCGATTCAGCATTGCGTGACTAGTCTGACAATGTCCAAGAGCCCTATCAGAGCACAGAGTCCCCATAACTACTCCTACCGACTTATCCGCACCGATGCCGTCATCATCTCATAGATGCCCAGGATGTTGAGCTCTAGAGATTCATGTATGCGCTTATTCGCACCGATGTCGTCATCATCTCATAGATGCTCAGGATGTTGAGCTCTAGAGATTCATGTATGCGCGAGTCAAACTTCATCTCTTCCAAATTCTAGAGGTCTCTTTGTGATAACTTCTGCCTCCGCCCGTATAGTATGCCCAATTGCTAAATCAGATGGAAGTGGTGGGTGTGGCGCGTGTAAGCGTGGTGCTTCTGCTTGATGTTCGCGTCTGCAAAGACAGACGTTGAACCTGTCACTTGGAGAAGCTCGGAATGGTAGCGCCTCTAGCTCGCTTTCGGTGACCGAGCTCGAGTCAAGGGACGGGCCTTGCGCCGCACTTGTCGCACTTGTCGCACTGACGATGCCATGGCGACAACTGCGGCAATTGACTGCGGCTCCTTATTAATAAATTAGCAAAAGTTTGCCTTGAGCTACGGGATTACGTCAGGCATGGCAAGGATGAGATCCAACACCCACTAACGTTTTGTTCTTGCTTTCTGTCACGTGCTGGGGCGCGTTCGACATGGAAATTTCTCTGCGCATCCGGCTGATACGCCTCCTTCGCTCAGCGCATCAGTTCTTCCTCCCGGTTACTGCGAAAATGGACACCCTGACATACATTCTTCTGGCGATTACTCTCATTTTATTCGTCGGACCTGTAAGATATTCCTCGACTGATTGAATACTCTTTGTAGTCATGAGCCAAAGCCTCGCTTTGGTCGGAATTTTTCATGTCTCCTACCATCTGCATCAGCGCCAAAAAGAGGCTCGATAACCAGACTGACTGGTTCAATAGGCCATTTTTAGGGACCGCTCGCCTATTCCCGAAACCTCAAAGAGAGTGGTAAAAGTAACCGAGGCCGCCGAACTAGATGCTATCCTTTCCTCTACCACTCGTGTAGTAGTTGACTTTTATGCGGACTGGTGTCCTCCATGTCGAGCAATCGCGCCTATTTTTTCCAAACTAGCAGAGGAACACTCCTTGCCTGGTCAACTCGCTTTCGTCAAGGTCAATGTCGACCATGTCAAAAACGTAGCTCAGCGATATAATGTCTCGGCGATGCCAACCTTTGTTTTCTTTCGGGATGGTGAACCTCAAGGAGTCTCTGTGGAAGGTCTTACAGCCCGCAGCTCGGTCAGGTCCACTGACAGTGGCTTGGTGGACAGAATTCTTGGTGCAGACCGAGTGGCTCTTGAGGCTGTGATCCAAGCATTGTCACTTCAGCGTCGGAATTAGATGATGATGGTCAACGGCCTAAGAAGCATCGTTTAGAGGCCACATGATGCACGGAAAGGCAGGCTGCGGTTAGTTGTTGATAAGACGGCACGGTGGTTTTGCGCGCGTGTACAGATTGATAACAAAGTAGTGGTCTGGCATTCCAGCTGTAGTGAAGCATCGATTTTGCGCTCTTTCACCGCGTAGCCGAGACTTTCATTGAGAATTCTCTCATTTAGATTTAATCTGTACCTTGAGGCCAAGCTGAAATCTACCGCGCCCTCGCTCTTGATGAAGCACCTGTTTGAACCAACGTCTAGTGCCTACCAACAGCCGGGACCAAAGCCGGCATGATGAAGAAATTATATGCGTAACAATCCACCAGAGTCAGACAAATCACCAGATCGTTTCTTACGGGTACTCACTATTTTTACGGCCCTCTCCTTCTTTCTCTAGTACATAGTTGGACAGCATTTCCAATAAAATGCCGCCGTGCTAGTGCATCCGACCGCTTGCCCGCTGTCTTGGGTGCTCGGCCCAAGCTACAAGAAATAATACCAGATATTGATTGTCATGTAAGTCGTCATCTCGACATTTGGCAGCTGGGCAGCTCAGTTTCTGGCTAGCATCGACATCGTACGAGAGACACAATATTCTTCTTCGAGGGCGCAGCTGTGAACGCCTGACACGCCCCCTAGATAGGTCCTAGGCAATGGGGGGCACTATTACATATTCGTACCCAACAATAATTGCATCCTTGTCAGTAATCCTTTTACTCTAGTCGTCCCACCTCTGCTGTGGTATGCAGAAAGTAAATAGTATAACCCTGTTGTTCAACCTCGTCTCGCTCGTGGCCTCGTACCATCTCGTATACTAACTATCCGGCAGCGATACATGCTAACTCACAGACAATGAGGCGCAGACAAACTGGCCCTGTAATATGACCCCTGCAAACGTTATGGGTAGTACTCGGTAGTTAAATCCTAGACGACCACGCTTTTCCTTGAATGTATCCACAGCAGTGTGCACGGCTGAAGATTTGGTGCATGAAGATCGTTGGATGAGCGACTGAAGAAGCGCTTGGCCGCTTGGGTTATGAAATTATCTGGGCAGTTGGGCAGAAAGAGAATCCGGAAGAGGGAGCCGCATTGCCGCAAACACCAAGAAACGAGAGGTGCGGGGATGTTGAATCAGTGACCCCAGCAGCGACATGACTCTTTGGCCGGCCGGACAGTGTACCCATGCATAGACAGGTCTAGACGTCATCGGTGTTTGTATCCTTCTGCTACTGCAATCTTCACAATGCCGGGGCGGTGTGGCGAGTGCAAGTGGCCAAGAGCGTACCTAGCGGAGCGTTCACTATTCATTCAAACTCTGCTAATGAACGCCGTGTGGCTTGGAAAAGCAACAAGACCAATGTCCAAAAAAAAAAATGAAAAATCCTATACTCGAGAGAAGCTTTGCCTGGAGATTCGCCAATTGAACTGTGCAACCGACCCAGATATTAATGAAACAACTCGGCCCACCACTTTGTCTCCCCAGTGCTGCAGTGCTGGCGGTTTCTCCTAGCAACCTAGGTAGCTACCTACCCAATTAACGTGCACTGGCTACTTCATTGCTTGCATACATCATCCCATCTTATCAGCAAGGTTTCCCATGTTAAATGCCCGGTTCTATACATTTCTTTTCCTTGCGCCCCTCTTTAATCTTCCCTTTGTTCCAGAAATTGGCAGCTGCCAACTACTCTCTGCCCTTGAGAGCCACATTCGTCACCACCCGTCTCAGCTGTATGTTTAGTCGGCGGGCACCAGCTCTCATGCACATGGTAGAATTCTGGCATGGTCGATAAAGTCCACGAGCCGCATTCTGGACAGTCGCTTTTTGTTATAATAACAGTCAATTCGCTGTCGTTGCCCTCGAATGGCCCTTGGCCTGCTGCAATCGACCCCGCTGGTACCCACCGCCAACTAGGTACCTAGCGTGCTGGTCCTTTGCAATTCTCTTTTCCTGATCAAATCCACAAAAAGACCAAAACAAATCTACATTCCAACAGACTCCTCTCCCTCCACGCACCAAAACCTTTTTATCCAGAGTTGTCGGGTCTCTTTTGATTCTCTTCACTGCTGTTCCACGACTTCTGCGACGACGTCTACGCTCCTCGACGAGGCACCTTATCGTTGTCCGCTCTTCCACGCACACCGCTTTTGAACTGCTTGTGCTGTGTGGTAGACTTCCCCGCCTTCCTCGCTCCGGCGCGGCGCCCAGTCGAGTTCCGAGTCCGCCGAGGTCATGACCGGCTTCGCTCAGTGCTCCTGGCCCATATGGCGGGTAGACGATTTCACTCTCTGTTTTCAAGTCGAGTACGTATTTCCTCTTTTCTTTGTGTTATTCTTTGTTGCTTGTCTGTGCATTTTTTTTCTTGGCATTTTTCGAGCCCTCGCCCCCATGTGGCAGCCGCAAACGCTGCCGATCCCCGTACCAATTACGCTGACTGCTTCTTCAGCTACCTTCGTGTCATAATTCCTCTTGTACTTGTTGCCTTGTCTGCTATCCGCGTCATATTCTTCAATGTCACTCGCATTCTCGACAATCGTAGAACGGAGGGCTACGAGGCCGTCAACAATGGCGATCATGTCATCGATCACACCGCACTCCCGCCCGACCTCGACGACACCGAGTCCGAACAAGATATGGAGATTCACGGCGGTCGCCTCTCCAAGACCCTGTCGCGCGGTTCCGTTGTCCACGCCGATCAGCCTCATGGTCAATTGCTTTCCAACATTGTCGAAATTGTCGCCGTCATCGCCGTCATCGCACTCAACATTCTCGCACTCGTCACCGGCACTGGTTCTTACGGCCGACGCGCCCGTCTCGCCGCCACTGCCAGCTTGATCGTCTGGCTCTACACCCTTGCACTCGTCTCACTGCGTCTATTTCTGAAAGACTCAAAATGGAGACTTCCTCACCTCTGGAACCATACTGCCACCATTTACGGCATTACTTGGGTCTGCTCTCTCGTCATCTTCCGTTCCGCCATCATTAACCCTAGCTCGGAGCTCGCCGAGATGATCGCCGTTGCCGAGTTTGCTTGCATTACCCTTCTCTGGGGAATGGCCATCACCACCCGCAAGGGCAACAAGACCGTCATGATGGAATGGGAAAATGGTCTCGAGCCCTCACGCGAGCCCCTCGCTAGCCTTTTTTCCATTGTCACCTTTTCTTGGGTCGATGATATTGTCTTAGCCGGCTGGAAGACCCCTCTAGAGATGGACACCGTCTGGAACCTCTTGCCAAAGGACAAGGCCGCCAACGTCATTGCTAGCTACCGCTCTTTCAAGCAGTCCGGCTCTCTCGTGGTCCATCTGCTCAAGTACTTCCAGGGTCCTTTGATTGGCCAATGTCTGCTCGCCGCCCTGGCTGGTGTCTTTACCTTTGCGCCCACCATGCTGCTCAAATACATTCTCGAATATGTCGAGGACCCCGACGCTGCTCCACGTAACGTCATCTGGCTCTTTGTCATTCTTCTCCCTGTCCTCGATACCATACGCTCCATCAGCGACAATATTAGTCTGTGGACTGGCCGCAAAATCTGCATCCGCATGCGCGCAATCATCATTGGTGACGTTTATGCCAAGGCCCTCCGCCGCAGGGCCGCTGCCGGCGCTGACAAGACTTTGGGAGTCTCGCAGGACCTTGGCGACCAAGCCGATAGGGGCGCCGTTTCCACCATAAAGCGCGCTCTTGGATTCAAGGGCAAGAAGAAAGCTGATACCAGCACACATGACAAGAAGGCCGCCGCTCCCGACGAGCAAACAAACCTAGGCACCATCATTAACCTCATGTCGGTCGATAGTTACAAAATCTCCGAAACTACTGCCTACCTGCACTTCCTCGTCGGTGCTGCGCCCGTTCAGCTCGCCGTCTCCGTCTTTCTCCTGTGGCAGGTCATGGGTCTCAGCGCCATCCCGGGCATCATTGTCATGGTTTTTCTTGTGCCAGTCAACTATCTCCTTGCCAATGGATTCAGTGTGACCTCCAAGAACATCATGGCAGCTACCGATAAGCGAATTCATATTACCAACGAAGTCCTCCAAAACATCCGCATCATCAAGTACTTTGCGTGGGAGAAGCGTTTTGGCACCATTATCGACGAGAAGCGTGAAAACGAACTCAAGGCTATGCGCTCCCGCTACATCCTCTGGTCTGTCGCTGTCGCCATCTGGAACTCAGTCCCTGTTCTCATCACATTCTTTTCCTTTGTTGTCTTTACTCTCGTTGAGAAGAAGCCTCTCTACCCCTCGGTCGCTTTTACTGCCATTTCGCTATTCATGCTACTACGTATTCCTCTGGATATGCTCGGTGACATGTTTGCTCACGTTCAGGAGGCCAAGGTTTCGGTTGAGCGCGTCGAGGAATTCTTGCAAGAGGACGAGACTGAAAAGTACGAACAGCTCGGTACTGATAACATCGACGAAGATGGCGTCAAGCGTATCGGCTTCCGCGACACCACTCTCTCTTGGGGTAGTAAAAACAACAAGATGGAGGATGGCCCCAGCGCGTTTCGTCTGTGGGATCTCAATATCGACTTTCTCATTGGAAAGCTCAACATCGTTGCCGGTCCGACCGGCTCTGGCAAGACTTCCCTGCTGATGGGTCTTTTGGGTGAAATGACTTTGTATTCGGGCAGAGTATTTTGCCCTGGCGGTCGAAGCCGTGATGATGTCCGAGTCGATCCCGAAACTGGCCTCGCCGACACCATCGCTTACGTCGCCCAAGCTGCTTGGCTGCTCAACGGCAGCATCAAGACGAATATCCTCTTCGGTGCCCCTTGGAACGAGAAGCGATACAACGACGTCATCGTTGCATGCGCCCTCGAACGCGATCTCGACATTCTTGACCATGGCGATGAGACTCTCGTTGGTGAGAAAGGAATCACTCTCTCTGGTGGTCAAAAGCAGCGCATCTCCCTCGCCCGCGCCGTATACTCTGATTCCGCTCATATTCTTATGGATGACTGTCTCTCCGCCGTTGACTCCCACACAGCTCACTGGATCTTTCACCGCTGCCTCAAGGGCCCTCTCATGGAACACCGTACATGCATTCTCGTCACCCACAACGTCCAGCTCTGCGCCCCTCAATCTGACTTCATTGTGGTACTTGACAATGGCCGCGTCAGTGCCCAGGGCGCCTCTGCCGAATTGATTGCTGCTGGCCAGCTGGGTGAGGACTTGCAAAAGTCTAGGCCTGGATCTGCCCTGACATCTCGTGCACCTTCCCGCGCATCCAGTTTCGGTGAGACCACGATCGTGGGAGGCTCCAACGATGGGGCATACAAACCCAAGATGAAGAAGAAAGTGGCCCCTCAGGTGGATCCCATGGACGAAGGCAAAGCTACCGGTGCCATTAAATGGCCCGTAGTGAAGCTCTATCTCTTTTCCATGGGTTCCTACTGGTTCTGGATCATTGCTCTCATCGTCTTTCAGCTGCAGCAACTCGCGCCCGTCGCCACCAATGTCTGGGTCCGAGCCTGGGCCAATCAGTATGTTCAGGAAGACGTTCGTGGCGTCGCTTTCAGCTCTGCGAGTGCCTCGTACAACAACCAGTTCCACCCCAAGGCTGCATGGGCCACCATCGCCAAATTGAGCAAGTTGCAAGTCGACCAGTCGCCTGCCTACACAGACGCCTATACAGCCATTCATCAGGTGCCAATCGGGACTGCCAAATCTGCGGCCGATGTAGATGCAGTCTACTACGTCTTTGGCCTTGCCTTCATTGGTGCTCTTGGTGCTTTTACCGCCTTTGTACGCGATATCTGGATTTTCTTTGGCTCTCTGACTGCGTCCCGTCGCCTGCACAGCGCTCTACTAAACTCTGTTTTGCGAGCTCGCTTCAAATTCTTTGATGTCACTCCTCTTGGACAAATCGTCAATCGATTCAGCAAGGATCTCGAGGCTGTTGATCAGGATATAGCTCCGACCGCCATTGGTGTGCTCGCTTGTGCCCTGTCTCTGATTGTGACGATTGTCCTCATTGCTGTGATCACGCCCGCTTTCTTGATTGCCGCTGTGTTCATTGGCATTCTGTTTTACTGTGTCTCCGTCTTCTATCTTCGCGCCTCTCGTGACCTCAAGCGCCTCGAGTCCGTGCAGCGCAGTCCCCTCTTCCAGCAGTTTGGCGAGACGCTCAGTGGTATGACGACAATCCGGGCTTATGGTGTTGAGCGCCGCTTCATTCAAGAAAACCTCGACAAAGTCAACACCTCGAACCGGCCTTTCATCTATCTCTGGGCTCTCAACAGATGGCTGGCCTTCCGAGCCGATTTCATCGGAAACAGCGTCTCCTTTTTTGCCGGCGTTTTCATAATTCTCAGTATTGGCAAAATTGACGCCGGTGCGGCAGGTATCTCGCTCAGCTACGCCATGAGCTTCACCGACAACGTTCTATGGTTGGTTCGACAGTATGGCACCAATGAGCAGAATATGAACTCGATGGAGCGAATTAAAGAGTATCTCGATGTTGAGCAGGAGGCCGATGCCATTGTGGAGGACCACCGCCCTGCCGAGTCGTGGCCGGAGAAGGGCACTGTAGAATTTGTCAACTACAGCACCCGTTACCGAGCTGACTTGGAGCCAGTGCTCCGCAGCATTTCCCTCAAGATCAACGCCAAGGAAAAGGTGGGCATAGTCGGCCGCACCGGTGCCGGCAAGAGTTCCCTTACTCTGGCTCTTTTCCGTGCTCTTGAGGCAGACAAGGGCGAGATCCTCGTCGACGGAGTCAACATTGGAGCCATCGGTCTCCAGGATTTACGCGAAAAGATAACCATTGTGCCTCAAGATCCCACTCTCTTCACCGGCACGCTGCGGTCCAATCTCGATCCTTTCGATCTATATACCGACGGGCAAATTTTCGAGGCTCTTCGCCGAGTGCACTTGATCGGGGAGGAGGATACCAGTACGCCTGCGACGCCAGTGTCTACCCTCACGAGCAACAAGAATATCTTCAGGGACCTTTCCTCCCCCGTCGCTGATTCTGGATCTAATCTGTCCCAAGGTCAGCGCCAGCTTCTGTGTCTCGCCCGCGCGATGCTCAAGAAGCCCAAGGTGCTTGTTATGGATGAGGCCACGGCGTCGATCGACTATAACACCGACTCGAAGATCCAAGAGACCATCCGCGAGATGCGCGGCACCGTCATTACCATTGCGCATCGCCTGCAGACAATTGTCGACTACGATAAGGTGCTAGTCCTTGATAAGGGTGAGACGGTTGAGTATGCGCACCCTTGGGAGCTGATCAGCGATGAAACAACGCAGTTCTACAGCATGTGCGAGTCGAGCGGTGACTTGGAGATTTTAAAGAAGGCGGCCAAGAAGAAGTGGGATGAGGGCCGCCTTGTGAGCGTGTAAGTGGAATAATGACTCTGTACTTTTATTTTTCTTTTGTCTATGGCATTGCGTCTGGCCCTTTTTTCTCCGTTTGTGTTTTCTCTGCTTTTAGTCTTGTTGTTTTGGGTATGGTAGGCAGGCATTTAGATTACGCATCCTGATCCCGGTGATCTTCTGATTTTTCTCTATACTAGGCGGTGGAGAAAAGGTAACAGATAATTGCAAATAATGAGTCGTTATTGAGAATTCCAAAATAAATTATATTCATCATGCTGTACCATTTCATGCATTAAATTCGGTACTTGCAAGAATGATACAGACCAATCGGTCACGACGGTTCGTGGCTTGGTAGCCCCGCATGGCAGAATTATTCGCAGTTGGCGATGGCCTTTCAATTGTAGCATTTTTTTTTAACATTCAATTTGATGTATCCGTAGAAAACAACGCCCGATAATCTGATTGTCTCTGTTTCAGCGAATTTAGAGCGTTTACGTGTCAGGCCAGCCCTCGACAGTCGACACTGACTGACGCCTCAAACACAACTTGCATCCACAACGCAATCGAGAAGGCGCCTCGCCTGGCGGCTTGGATTCAGGCTGCCGCCTCGCCACCAGAGCCTGAGGCAGTGCAATCCTTCCGACTGCGTGATTTTGCTGACGTGTCGACTGTTTCTCTTCATCAACTGCTCGTCAGCAGCAAGGGCGTCACTTTATTCATTTTTTTCATCCCAAAAACTTCAATCATGGGCAAAGCATCGGACCTCGTCCCTCGGTCCAAGGACGATAACAGTCAGCCGACAACGCCGCTCGTCGAAGGTGCCAGCTCCATATCCTTGCACCACACCAACCCAAACTCGCCACAGCGCCAGCAGTACATTGATGACAACGACTTTGACCGCGCGCCTCCGCACGCCGATGATGACCTGCCGCCGCTGTACAGCGACCACGATGTCAACGCCTTTGTCCCCACCGATCCGCTGATACCACAGGGCACGCCCGGTCTCGACATTGCGCCGTTCCGCAGCTCCGATACCAGCGGGAAGACGTATTTTATTGACCGCCGACTCGACACGGATCCAGCCTTCTTGCAACGGCAGCTCGAGGTCCTCGCCGAGAGCCCGCCGCGGCCTCTTTGCCACGTGCGGGGAACGCACACCGAAACGCGCCGACGCGACGACAAGGAGGAGCAAGAGACAGTCGTTGATTTTGACGTCGAAGTTGAGCTCACGAGTCTACTCTACACTGATGCCCGCACGGGGGCCTCGTGGCGACAGTTGACGACGGTCGGCAACTTTGAAAAGGTGCGCCGCGGAACCGTCTTGGCCAAGCGTGCGCCGGGGTTCGGCGGCAGCAGCGGTGGTGGTGGTGGTGGTGGCCACACCGTGGAAAGCGGCACACCTACCGTCGAATATTGGTGCCATAGCTATTGCGCAAGCTCAGCAGGGCTAAAGAGCTTTTCTCTCGAGCGTCGCGTCACGGGCTGGGACTTTGAGCGTCTCGAGTCGAAGCTGTGCAGGCTGATTCGCGACACCAACTACCAGGGCAACCTGCAGGTTTCCTTTCCCGTGCACAACAACCGCGTCGAGATTTACAACGATTGTCGGACGAGCCGCTGGCGACTGACCAAATGGGTCCAGATTTTGTGCTACGTGACGCTCACCTTTCTCTTTACGTGGCCGTGGCTCTTCTTCCGCACCAAGCGCTGGGAGACAGTCTACGTGGCGTGGCCGCTGCGCGACCCTCGGACGGGCCAGTACGCGAGCCTCAGCGAGGACCAATGGTATAATATGTGGGCGCGCACCATCCAGACGGCGTGTCTGGCACGGCGGCAGGGCATACTCGATCAGGGCGACATTCGTCGCCTGGAGAACCCTGGAGAGATGGCGGCGGCGGCCGGTGGAGGGTTTGCCGGCGCGGTGCAGATGGGCGTAGACGCCATGGGCGTGGTGAACCGCAGCTTTGGCTGGGGTGGCAATGACAATAGACGCGGAGGCTTCAACAGACGCGGCGGGCTCCCGAATTTGGGGAGGAACAGATGCTAAAGGACCTCTGAAATTAAGGCCCATCTGATGAATGAATATGTAGCGAGTATCGTCCTAGCTAGTGCTTTCTGTCTTTTTGGTTTCATTTAGGTGGCATGGTATCCTTTGAAAACGGTTATCAGTTCCCTATTTCAGCTACAAATATTCCATTTCGAATTCGTCGTCCTTCAATGATTGTGCCATCTCAACAGAGAACTATCGCAGAATTGCAAAGGTGCCCCACCATTCCACCCCACCATGTTCTCTCTCATCCCATGACAACCTCGCTCGGATTTCATCTCATCAACGTTCACAGCCCATCCACTGCGTTCGTTAAACGATCATGGAAATTAAGCACACAAAAAGAGCCCTCGCGGTTAGTTTGGAGTCCGACAAGGAGCACCTTAGCCGCGTCATTCATGGTACGATGTTTCCTATCTACCCCTCTACACCGCGACACACTTCAACTACCCTACACTCACATCCTGCCTAGCGGTCATTCAGCCTTCATCATTGTGAATCATCCGACCGCCCTACACACCCTTGATTACACGCTGACAGTACAGACATCTCGGGATCAAGTCCGATAACTACAGAGGATACCCTCGCAGGCATCACGCATGACCTGCCTCTCAAGACCAAGTATTACGCCACTACGGTGCCGATATGGCTGGACCTTATCGACTCGCCGTCTGAATGGGCGTCGTCGTTTCTCTCCACCGAAGCCTCGGAAGTCCTAGCCGTTCTCGGCAGCCTCATTCTCGTCTTCTCCATCCCGGATAGTACGGCGGCTTCTGCAGCAGATTCCACGCGCCAACTCATTCGGCAGGTCGGCAAGGTTGTCCACGACGGACTCGGCGGGTGGGCGTGGGATGGCGTCAAGCTGGCCGTCGGCGTCGGCAGCGCGCTGGACGTGGACGAGTGGGACGAGCTGTGTGCAGAGGCCGGGCTGGAATTTGTGCAGGTCGGCGGCGGCGAGGACAAGCTGCAGCAATTTGGCGGTACACATTAACCACCCCCCGGCCCCAAAAGAAGACACACACGGTCCCCGGGATAGAAAGCAAACTAACAAAAAGGGCAAATGTAGAAAAAAGTGGCATACCTCGCGTCAAAGAGGCTCTCGAGGCAAACGAATGGGACCTGGCCCCTGCGGATGAGCCCCCGTTTGACGACGAGGTGGCCAACAAACATATCTTGGACGACGCGCTCGACCCCGAAAACATGGATTTCGGACTGGGCCAGGCCGATCTCGAGGCGCTGAAAAAAGCCATCTTCGCCAATCAGGGTCCAGAACAAGATTTACAAGACGATCGGAAAGGAGAGGATATTGGCGACGAGGATGTGGCCAAGGTGCAAGCCATGATGAGCAAGCTTCAAGCCGCGCGCGAAGCCGGCGAGACCATGAGCGAGACGCAGCGGCGAAAAATGGCCGCCAAGGCGGTGGAGGAGGTAATGCGGGAGCTCTGACGCTATATAAAACCAGATCAGAATAACGAGTCCAATGGCGGAAGAAAATAAATATATAAACACCCGCACTGATGAAGCAAGGATCTGGGAAAATAGAAACAGTGCTGCTGTTTGCATGTAGTACTGGTAGCGAGGCAAACGGGCCGGAAGTTTATTTCCTCGCAGTTCCAGCGCACCATAGCGGATACAAAGGGGCGGGTGGTACGGATTACACACACAAGTCAATCCTTTACCATCTCATTCTTCGGACTACGTGGTGAATGTCACGACTACCCACGGTTTAGCGAGCCAGTCAGGGGTTCCAATTATTTATCAAGCACCTTCAGCCTTGACAGACAATCGGGACGAGACGGAGTCTCACCTAGAGGCCAGGGCAAGGAAGGAATACCAGTAGGCAAGACTGAGTGCCCTCCCCTGTCCGACGGACCAATGAGGCAAGGCCTGTAAGGGACTTGGGGATCTGTGCGTTCATTGCGAGCCCACCTCTTGGCAAAATGTATCGCAACCTGGGCTCTTTTCGGGATCTCAATCGAGCAGCGTCGTGGTCAATGCTGCGGCTGTACTGCTTAGATAGCCATGCCTGGTTGGGCTCAGTAACATTCGCCCCTCAAAACTGACCTGGGCGGCGGAGGTCAGGCTCTTTTACTATACGTTCATGTTGGCCGCTTGGCTGCCTCTGCGAGGATGCGTGGCGAATCGCGTGTCGCTGATATGATAGCCAGAGCGCGACGCACCGAAACACGACAGAGGTACAAACTTTCACAGTACGCCAAAGGTTGTCAACTTCAGCTCGTCGTTAGTGATTATACGATTCTCACACCATAGCACTGTCGGTTCATGTTATGGGCGTTGTGATTCGAGCAGTACTTTCGTTCCCGCATGCAGCTGGCAGGTTCGATCCGGGGCCTAGACTCACAACAAGGCAAGACAAAGTGTGGCAAGGCTCAAGAACGCCTTCGCGGCTGTTGAGAGTTTGCCAGGGGAGCCCGGAATATATGGAATCTGGGGCCGGCGAATCTCGCCAGTGGCGGCACCGGGAGTCAAGGCTAGGGGGCATGGTGGCTAGTGACCAGCTGCTAAGGAAAGAAGACCCTTTTGAGCCCCAAAATGCCTTGAAGTGTCAAGGCAAGACTTGATGGAAGCTTAGCAGCTCATGCTACGCAACGCAAGGATAAAAGGAGGGCTGTGTAATGGATCGTACGGAAACGGGCCTGTACGGAGCCAAAAGCTGGTGGAATATCTGTACATGGGTGAGGTGCGCGGGGCGCTGTGCTGACTGGTGAAGGTTGGTGTACCATCGCTTCCGAGCAATTTTCGAGAGACGAGAAACTCGATAGCTGCAGAGGACCTAAAAAGGCAGTCAACCATCTCTCCTGTAGAAAAAGGGAAATACGGCATCGCGCTTACTGAGTAATCGGATGGTTTTGCAGCAGTCGCGTTACGAGATTTCGAGGTCATGTCAGCAACAGACGAGTTTGCGCCATCTGCCAATATCGGCTGGTAATTTTGTAACCGATCCGATGAATGAACAAGCATTCTTGACCAGGGTCGGCATCAAAAGCAGGGTATGGCCGGCAGGCCACCGATGAGGCGCGGGTATCGCTACAATCAAAGTCGCTGCCGCCCGCAATCCTAGTAAAGCTTTTGAGTGATTCTTCGGAGTAAAAGCCAGACACAGAGGCCGGGAAGCTGTAGCCAAGCGTCTTGTGATGCTATCGGTATAATCAATACCCACGAATCTTCACCGTGTACGAAATGCGCAGGTCAATAGATAGTCTTGTCGTACGGGTTCCAAGGCGGCTGCGTTGGGCGTCCGGGCGGGCGGGGCAAGGCCCAGATGCGACCGACTGTGGTTGGCTGGCGGCGGACGCAAGGTGCCGCCCATCACTAGTCAGGGGTAATGGGTGGCCAGGCCAGCTCCAAATGGGCCGGCCAAGTGGAAAGGAGAAAAACTTTGCCCGGGCGCCTGACATTCTTCTCAAACAAGGGTGTGTAGAAATTTAAGAAAAAGAAAGGCTTATCAGAATGCGGCGAGAAGCTGTTGAGGGCCATCATATCGCAGCTTTAACCTGCTGGAGTATTCGACGTATAAAGTTTAGGCGTCAAAAGTCGACCTCGACAATCAACCATGCCACGAGTCACACGGCGTGCTCCTAATACACGATCTGGCTGAGTAGGTTGGTGCGACGCAGCCGCAGTGGACTATTTCGAAGCAATGGATGCGTACAACTCATCTAACATGAGCCTGCGGCGGCGTTGATGGAGAAAAGCGGCCTAGCGTGCAGCAAAGCGATGTCGGCTAGTTGGTAAGCCATTGATGAGTGTTAATCATCAGTCAACGGACAAAGCAGACAATAGAGTCGACAAAAGCATCTTGATGAGGGCGGCGCCAAGTTGCGCCAGCTCAGCCCAGCCTTGACCTCGAATATTCATTAGCGTTGAGCATCGCTCCACCAGCTAAGTATCAAGAGTATGTAGCTGGCACGCCTGACAGGTCGGCAGGGAAGTGACCCCAGGAGAATCACAGTGCAGTGGGTGAGTCGATGTCATGTGCGTCTGGTTGTGGTTGGCTGGCATTGCGAAACAGTGTCAACGTGTCTATCAACTGGCAGCATGTTTTGCATATCGATCAAGCTCCATTGAGCAGTGCTGCATAAAGCTGAGTTGACCACACCGTCCACTTGCCACTGTCGCCTGATGAAATTCGCATTGAACTTGAGCTGGAACTTGGCGTTCGGCATAAGAGACGCGCGTTGGCACCTGCAGCCGGCCCGCTGAAAGTCGCTGCAGGAACTGGCGCCTCGCTGCATGTCTCTCCGAACATGCTGTGCTTATAAGTTATAAGTGACGCGGCTGACGCTCACTCCGCATGCTCATTGCTCAGTCAAGCACTCGTCGCATCACTCGCAGGCATACCGGCGCCAGCACGTCCCATGTCAAGACAGATACCACTCAAGACGTTGGTCGTCACCGTGTTACCACCTGACTGTCATCTAGATGGCATTGTTTTGGCTTTCGACAAGAGTATCGCGGACTGCGTCATGCCAAGCAGGGATGATGAATTTCGGCGCAGCCCGCCTTGTTTGGCACACGAGTAGCGAGTCGGCTATTCTTGGCCAGCGGGCTGTAACAATGCCAATGCTTCATGCAGCTCCATCGAAGTGGAAATAAAGTATGCGGAAATATCCACGTGAAAAGGGGATGGATGTGAGCAACAGTTTCTCCATGCATCCTAATACTTTGGATAAGCGAGCCAACGACTCGAAGATACTGAGAGAGAGGGATGTAAATGTGCAAGCCATACCTGGTCAAGCATGCTCACATGACAGGCTACACCATCGGTTGTGCTTGTCGTATCGAGTAGACATGAGATGTAATGTTTTCATTGCCATTGATCCTGTGCAGAAGATCTCAATACATAGTGAGCCTGCCCTGCTCAATGCTGGAATCCCGAACAATGATGCCAAGCTGCAACCTTGCGGGTGTGACGTACATGGGGCCGCGATGCGCGAGTTGGCTGACTAGGGCATAAGTGGCGAGCCCAGTTTGCCTAGGACGATGAATTTGTGTGGTGTCTGAGTGTCTCGCAGAATGCGATCCACAAGGGCAGAACGAGTTCAATGCATTCGTGGTTGTTATTTATTGGCAGCGGTCAGCAGCGGCTTGTAGCGCCAGCATCTTGTGTGACAGATAGATTGAGAGCGAGCATCCGAGGGACTATTTTATTAAGCTGGGCGGTGGGAAGAAGAGTAGCGAAACGAGGCATGGCATGCCGTAGACCGCGTCGATTGGCTCCCCCCAACAAGACTCAAGAGGGCCTTGTCCTCGCCTGACCTTGACTGGCGTCCTCCCCACTCTTATGCCCGTCTGGTGTCAGGGGCTGGATTGGTGGGCTGCTAGTCTGTGGTTTCGTGGCGAGCAAGGCGGATATGGCAGCGTTGGTCGCGACCCCTGTCTTGGATCAAGGCCTTGGCCGGCTTTGGGCGTAGGATGAGACACCAGTGACCATCGACCAGTGGCTGGACGCAGGCGGCGAGCCACAGTGGAGGCGGCTCACCCCTCTAACGGGCCAGATGGTACGTGGTTGGCCGAGGCGTGTGGTTTGAGCAGGGTTTCTCTTGTCTTTCCTTTTCCTTTCTTGTGCTGCTTTTTTTTGGCTGTGGCATGGCGCGCTGGGCAGCAAACTGTCTAGGCTAGCCCGATGTTGTGCCTTGATGCCCTGTCGATCGGTTTTGCTTTTTGGCTGGGAATGGCATTGTTGATGCGAACGCGGCAAGGCCACGCCGGAGGCGCAGGGCCAGCACACAACTGGAGCAAGAGGGCTAGAGAGAACAGATAGTAAGAATAGCCCAAATCAGGGTTGCGGGGTGTTGTATTCTTTGATGGCTGAGTCAGGCGGGATTGGTTTGAGGGGGTGATGCAAATGCGATGCGACACGGCATTCAAGACGACGGGCCCAGGCTTGGTACAGTTGCACACGATTGAGGTCGAGAAGGACGAGGGTGCAAATCCGGGAGGGATACGATGCTGAATGACGCTGATTGCCCCCGAGTAGCACTGAATGTTGACGACGGAGGTGAGCAAAAAAGAGCAGATGCTGGTGCAAAGGCGGCAAGCCGGAACTTGGCAGACACCAGGCAAGGGGTTTGGATGGATGCATGGGGGTGGCTCAGAGTTTGGTTCCTGGGCTAGTGCCAGATCAAGGTTAGACTGGGCTAGTCATTGGTGAGTCTTGACGAGCTCGGGGGGAATGGTGCCTGGAACTAGTCCTCCAGAAAAGAAAGAAATGGGTCTGGGGAGGGGCGGCTTTGGTCAGGCTGGTACTGGTACCTGCAGGACGCAATTGGTAGTCTTCAGTCTTCAACCTTCAGTCTTCAGTCTGATGATAACGGCTGGCATGAGAAATGGCTTGCAAGATAAAACAGGCGAGGATAAATATAGATGGGTCGTGCAAAGTAACTAGGGCGAGGTGACAATGCAGCTGCGCGTCTCTCCAATAATTGATGATGCTCACCATATTAGGCGTAATACCTGGCCTCCTGCATTACTAGTAGGTATAGGTTCCTTCGTAACGCCGTTTCGATGCTCAAACTCATACCTACCTAGTTAAGCAACTGGTGCCACGAGACGGGCCTGTACTGTGAAGTTGATCGCCCTCTGTCATCCCAGGAAGGCGTCCGTGAAGCACCGAAGCAGCGAAGCAAGTAGGATCTAGGCAAGATATTCTGACCGAGATGGCTGATTGAATAAACGTAAGAATAGTGTAGACATGTTCTTTGCTGCAACATTACCTCCGTAACGAAAAGATAAATACAGCACGCGCCTTGCGCCTCCAAACCGGCGCCCGCATACTGCAGGCTGTTGCACATTGCTACAGTGCTACCCGCCTGTCCAAACAGGCACCGCCCACCTCGTCTCGCAGCCAAACATGTACCTGACTAGGGAAAAAAAAGGAGCATGCCTACGGAGTACTGGTACTGACGCTCCTGTGTCGGGTTTGCGGGTCAAGTAGACTGACTCTACCAAAGGCATCAGGAAGCTTCCCCGACTGCTGCGACTGGCTGGATTGTTTGGGTGTGGGTGCGTGCGAGTGGGCTCTGGCTTGGCCCCTGTTTCTTTTTCTCGCCTCCAGCAATTTTTGCTGCTGAAGTGAATCTCAAGCATCCACTCGCTCGCACTGCAGGCGCCGTGTTAAATATTTAGTAAGTATTAAGCCTGTGTGGCCGAAGTATCTATGTAGGTACCTCTGTAACTGATCGTCGCGGGTAATCCGGACAAAGCAAGTAGGTAAATAGTTAGATAGGTACGGTTATACACTCTTTCGTGGTACGCCCTGTGCCCTCCCATTCCCATTCCCATTCCCACTCCCACTCCCACTCCATTGCGAGGTAGGTACCTGTACCCAAGTAGCCCCTCCCTCTCCCCTCTCAATGGCCCCGGCTGCCAGCCAAGCCAGGCACCAGGCAGGTCTGTCTGCCGTACCTTTGCTAGCCTACCGCTAGCTCCAGGCACACCCGTCTAACGCCTTGAATCGCTGATGCACCACCACAAGCCCATCTGCTGTGCTCCCTCGTCGCTCCCAGCCAAAGTCACGCAGGTCCCTTGCACCGCACCAGCATGGCTTCCACAGGCTCCCACAGGCCCAGTCCCACTACTCCCGCACCGCCTCTGCCTCCTTCCACAGCGCTTTCTGTTCTGCCACGCCGCTTGGCCGCTCGCTCGTTCCCTTTTCCCCCCGGCTGCCCCCCATCCATCCCCGTTTTCTTCTCTCTCGCCTCCCATCCTCCATCGTCAACTGGTTTTTTTGTTCTACACTCTTTTTCTTCCCCGCGTCTTTTCTTATTCATTTCATTCCTTTCCTTTCTGTCGCTCTCTACTACCTCCACTCTCTTTAAACACCAATCAGTGATTCCTCACTCCTTTCGGTATCACCATTTCATTCTCTTAGGCTTCTCAGTCCACCGCTATTCCATCAATACGACCCCCCGACGCGGTCTGTACATCCTCGACTACAACTGCTCGAATATAATCACAACACTCGACATCAGCTTTCTCCATCCTTTCTCCTCAGCAGTCGACGCATCACATTCTTTACTCGTTATAATCCAACTTTTCACCCTCCTTCGCTACACGATTGGTGCCGCTGCGCTCTCGACAATTCCTCGAACCACGCCGCCTCGTTAGAATCGTGTTTGCTGCTATACACGCCCACTACTTGAAACCACAATAAACTAAAATCGCAGTGTTCGTCGCTGACGGACCCAACAACATCCTCAGCCATGGCCACGGAAGTTGAAATGCCCGTCTCCATGATGCCCATGCACCAGGCCCCCGAGTCCTCGAGCCCCAACTCGACTACGGCTCCCGGTTCCGCCACGGCCACCTCCTCTGGGCGGACGCCCTCCCCTACCGCCTCTACCGCCGGCCACACATCGGCCAGCATCTCGAAGCGCCCACCTCGCAAGAGCACACTGACCCAGCAGCAAAAGAATCATAAGCGCCAGCGTGCCACCCAGGACCAGCTCGCCACTCTCGAAGTCGAATTCAACAAGAACCCTACCCCCACTGCCAGTGTCCGTGACCGCATTGCCGACGAAATCAACATGACGGAGAGATCCGTCCAGATTTGGTTTCAAAACAGGTATGTTTCGACTACACGCGTGAATCTCATTTGGACACGTCCAAGTCCTCCACTTGCCTACCTATTCCTACGTCCATGTACATGCATCGCCAGTTGCTGACCTTCTTCAGACGTGCCAAGATCAAGCTGCTGGCCAAAAAGAGCCTTGAAACAGGCGAAGATATTGACAACATACCCGAATCCATGCGCGCTTACCTTGCCATGCAAGCGATGGAGTCTGGCAAGAGCCTTGGTGGAGGCTATCTCGGCCGCACCGGACTCATGCCCTTTGGTCACGGAAACTCACTCCTCGGCGAACAAGCCAGCCCCGGCAAGGTTCTGATTCACCACCTCAGCTGCCGCTCTCTCAGCATCGGCAAGTGGACCAGGGTCGGCCAGAACACAATGGATCTCATCATCTTCTACTCCCCCGACAAGTGCACCATGACCTACTATATCAACAACGATCAAGCCGGCTACAAGATCGAGTATCCCTTTGCTTACATCAAGAGCATTTACCTAGAACATAGCGAAGGCGATCTTTCTAAGCTCGGCGGCATCGTCATTGAGCTCAACCACGCCCCCAACTTCTTCATGGACTCGCCTCCCTCTGCTGGCGGCTTCTACCAAGTTGGCGACTTTACCGAGGATTCGCAGGCTTCGAACTGCATGCTTCACCACCTCGGTGGTAACCCCAAGGTCCTCAGCGGCCAGCTCGCCAAGCTCATCTCCCTCGAGTCCTTCATGAATCGCCACAGCAACATGACCTATGCCGCCCCCAGCCCCAACGCCGCCATGGAGGCTCACGCTATTGCCGCCTCGGCCCCCGTCTCGCCTATTCCTCGCCCATCCTCCCAGCCCAACTTTGCTCCCAGCCACATGGGCATGATGCCTGACCAGAACCAATGGGGCATCGGCCAGATGCATTCGGCCATGCGCCCTCCCCAGGGCCACAAGCGCCAGAGAAGTCGCTCCGTCCCCGGTCCCATTGACTTTGCCATGTTCCAGAACCAACCCATGCCCTCGTTCTACATCTCAGCTCCGACCGACATGGGCCCGCCCCAGACTCCTGGCGTGTATGCGCCTGTCCCTCAGCAGCCAAACATGGTCAATAACCTGCGCATCGACACCCAAGCTGGATTCGGACTTGACATGCGCCAGTATCCAATGTCTGCCACGACCGCCTCACCCGCCGACTTCCCCCACAGCCCCAGCTTCTTCTCGCAGGGTCCCGACGGCACGCCGCTTGGCACTCCTGGTTACACTCCTGCTTACAGCGGTGCTTTCATGTCTCCCATGGTGGGCCCCGAGCCGAACGGCCCAACGTCAACTCCATCTCTCGGCTACGCTGGCAACGAGCCTACCATTGCCGACCAGTCACCTCCCATGCACATGATGGGTCGCCCTGGCTCCGCTGGCATGTATGGAGCGCAGGACGGCTCCTGCGCTGTCTCAGAGGATGGCACGGCGCTGAATGATATGTACTCAAAGCACAACATCAACCTCTCGCCACACTTTGTGCAGCCGCAACAAGCAGAACTCGACATGGACCAACTGGTTCATTTCGACACAGTCGACCCTTCGAGCCTCTCGCCCCCCGAAGCTTTGGCCTCGGCATCACAATAACCCGCCGACGGCTTGATGTTGTCTTCTCGTCTCTGTTCTTGCATTGAGCATTACTTTTTGGTTCGGGCTTTCGTTTGGCGTTGCTTGTTGTCTTTGCTGGCTGTCTTTTTTAATACCATTTGTCTTTCTGTCCGTCCCTTGCCACCAGTTTTTTCTCTATTCCTCCTTCTGTCTGATTTTGTTGCACTTTTTACCATGAAGTCCTCGCATCTGGCCCGACTGGCCAGTTTGCGGACTTCCTGTGCCACCGGCGGTAATACTTGATTACTTTACTCCGCTTGCTCTCGCCGGGGCGGATCTATAACGAGTCTTGCATGAACGAAAACATTCTTTCATTTTTGGAGAATCGGCCACACGGCCACGGGCACATGGGTCTCAAGGCTTTGAGTTCATCTGTTGAGGGGGCCCTCGAGTCTGTATAGACGCCGCTAGTCCTTGTTGGGCTGTTCTATGGGCATGCATCTCCATTGTTGCAAACGGTGGTCTGAGTCAGCCAGCCCTTTTCCTACTTGTGTTTTGCCTGTAACTACCTCGCCACAGTTTGTTCGGGATGCATCTCGGACTAGTTCATGGCGCCCTGCACATTGGTGGCTTTTTTGTCTTCCTTGTGCCCTCACTTTTCCCACTTTTCCTTTTTCTTCTTCTTTCAGGCACGATTGTCAATATTGCTTTTTATTTGGGAAGCCCAGGAGGCTTTTGACTGCCATTAGTTCATTTCCATCTCTTCTTGTCTTGGCAGCTATGTAATGGAAGATAGATTCTGTATTTAGGGGTTTTGGATAATGCAGGTTCCTGCGTTAGGGTCGTTAGGGGGACGCGAAAAATTGCACATTATTGTACGCTTTCTTTTCTAGACTGGTTCCCCTTCCTTTGGTGACTGCGCGAATGACCTTGGCAAGCCGGGAAACGTGTGCTGTTAGGGGCGTGGCTGTCATCGTGCGGCAGCCAAGATGCTTGTCCTGGAATAACCGTGTCGATCATGGCGAACCCTTGGCCACCCAACGATTGCGCCGACAGTGTACTTGTACCGAAGGCTGATTTGAAGTATTTCTTGGTCGCGTATCAAAAGCTCCGTCCCTAATTAGAAGTCCTAACTAAGCCTAAAGGTTAGGTAGCTGAAGCGTATTTCTGTGGTCTGGCTGTGGGCAAAGGGTCAAGGGGCCGTGGAAGTGGGCTCCACGGGGCCGCCGCAAACTAAAAAGTTAGGCGCTGAAGCGAGGCTGTGCTGGGCTGGGCTGGGCTAGCATTACGTGTGCGGAGAGGCAGACTGTAAATAGTACTTGGCAACTCGGGTAATAAGTACAAGCCCAGGCCTCGTGTGCCTTTGTACACCTCCCCACCCACGCCTTCACCTTTGTTTGCGCGACTGGAACAGCTAACGACCATGGCCAAGCATTGCCCTCGCGGCGGTATCGAATGATAAAGGGGCTGGTTCATCAACGCTGCTTCTGTCCCATCCATCCCAATTCTTGCCATATCTGTTTTCTCCGGGATCCCTGCGTCAACAGCTGCACTTAGACACGGCTGACCAGCACTCTTACTTTCACGACAAACATCAACCCGACGCACTCACCACCAGGGTCTCGGCGCCTGCCACAACCCCAAATGGTGAGACAAGACGGGTGGTATGCATCCCAATCGCATTGACGCGGCGTTGCACCCCGCCGAATACGTCTCGAGTGCCTCTGATGCCGCCGCTGTTGATGCCGCCGTCAATATTCAGCGCAATCGCTCGTCTGCCGCTCCGCGCATGACGGCCGCTTCCCGCTCCCGTACGGATCCCGGCCTAGCCCTCGGTCGGGATAACGCAGAGACTGCTCGCGCGCCCATTTCTGAGCGACACGAGCTCCAGACGATTCACTCCAAAGCGCCCTTCGCCATCAAGACCGACAGCGTCGATGATGCGGCCACGAGCGCCGGTGCCTCGGCCGCAGCCGCCAACTCCATCCCCTATACGAAGCCCTCGTTCCGCGACCGTCTGGCTCGTCTTCAGCCCGAACGGCTTACGAGCAATAAGCGGCGCCGACAGATGCACGGCTTGGTATGGAAGGAGAGCGTCAAGGACTGGGTCGCGACCGCGTACCAAAGGGTCATTATCGAGGGTCTATTGCGCCAGAAGCCGCTGCCGCCGTCGCACGATGGTCGCCACATTCCCATGAATTACCCGCACGACATGATCGACGAGCGCAGTGGCCGGCACTACTGCAGCAACTTCATCCGCTCCTCGCGCTACACAGTCTACGACTTTATTCCGAAGCAGCTGTTCTTCCAGTTTAGCAAGCTGGGCAACTTTTACTTTCTGGTCATGGGCATCCTACAGACCATTCCAGGTCTGAGTACCGTAGGACGCTGGACCACAATTGGACCGCTGCTTGCGTTCGTGGCATTTAGCATGGCCAAGGAAGGACTGGATGACTACCGAAGATATCAGCTTGACAAGTCGGAGAATAGAAGCAGTACCTTGGTGCTATCCCGTAACGACGGCAGAAAACGGAAGGCAACACATGCCAAGACTGCATTGGCGCGCATCAAGAATCGCAACGAAAAAGCCGACGTCACTGTGGAGGAGACGGCTCTCGGCGACCTCGAGCAAACTCGCCCAAGCTCTGATTGGATTGAGCTTGACTGGCAACAAGTTCGCGTCGGCGATATCGTCCGTCTGCAGCGTGACCAAAATGTACCCGCTGATATGGTGCTGCTGCACGCCACGGGTCCCAACAGTGTTGCCTACATCGAGACCATGGCTTTGGATGGTGAGACCAATCTCAAGGCCAAGCAAGCCTGCCCGCCACTTGCCCACTGCTGCAACACGATTGACGGCCTGCGCCAGACACAAGCGACCATCGTGTCCGAGGACCCCAACATTGACCTTTATAGCTACGATGGAAGAGTCATGATCGACGGAGAGATGCTGCCGCTGACCCTCAACAATGTTGTCTATCGCGGCTCGACCCTCCGCAACACGTCCGAAGCAATCGGCCTCATCATCAACTCGGGCGAAGAATGCAAGATCCGTATGAACGCTCACAAAAACGTGCGCACCAAGAAGCCCGCCATGCAGTCCACAGTCAACTTGATGATTCTCTTTCAAATATTCATCGTCGTCATGCTCGCCGTCGGCTTCACCATTGGCTATTACCTTTGGGAAGAAGACGTAGAGAACAGATCCTTCTATCTCTACAGAAACGGCTTCTACGACGCTTCTGTGCCCTTTCGAGAAATCTTTTTTGGTTTCCTCATCATGTTCAACACACTAATTCCGCTGTCACTCTATATCAGTCTGGAAATTGTGAAACTGGGACAGCTGCTATTGCTGCATGATGCCGATATGTACGATCCTGTGACGGATACGCCCATGGTGGCCAATACGACGACCATTTTGGAAAATCTGGGACAAATCAGCCATGTCTTTTCCGACAAAACGGGCACATTAACAGAAAATCTTATGCGATTTCGCAAACTGTCTGTCGCTGGTATTTCCGTCTTACATGACATGGACATCTTGCGAGACGAAAAACTCAAGCAGGTCAAGTTGGATTCACGCAAGGTCTCGAAGAAGCGCGGCAAGCAGTTGGCAAATGTCATAGCGTCGGCAGATCCAGTCGGGCGTACATCCACGGGATCTTTCACCCACTGGAAGTCGTCGGTCCGGCCCAACGATGAACCGGACATGAAAACAGAAGAATTGCTTGAGTATATCCGCTCCAAACCCAACACTTCCTTTTCGCGCAAAGCCAAGCACTTCCTTCTATGTATCGCTCTTTGCCACACTTGCTTGCCCGAATGCAAGGATGATGGCTCTATCGAATTTCAGGCCGCATCACCTGATGAGCTTGCCCTCGTCGAGGCCGCACAAGATCTAGGATATATGCTCATCGATCGCCCGGCTCAGACAATCAAGTTGCAGACGATTGACGCAGAGGGAGCCATGGTCGTGGACTCATACCAGGTCTTGGACGTGATCGAATTCAGCAGTCAGCGAAAGCGCATGTCTATCATCGTCCGTATGCCAGACAACACCATTTGCGTGATTTGCAAAGGTGCCGACAATGTCATTACCTCACGGCTGAAGCTGAGTCACCTTGCCGAGCAAAAGGCGCGTGACATTGGCCGCAGAGCCAGCATGCGGAAGACTTTTGAGAAGAACAAGGCATTGCAGAGGAAAAGCATGCAATTGAGCGTTCGGTCGACTCCTAGAACTAGTCTCGCCATGCGGAACCGCGAATCGACGGACATCCGTGACAGTCTGCGGCAGAGTATTGGCCGTCGCTCTGTGGACGGTGCTCGACTAGGGGAAGGCCTCTCTTCATGGCTACAGAGGCGACACATTGAGGAAACGACCTCTCCTCGTCACTCGGTTGAGTTGCTCAAATCCAACCGCCAGAGCCTCAGTCGCGTCGCCCCCTTTGACGCCATCGACCGCCGCGTTGACGAGAGCGTAGCTTCGAGCGACGCTGCGACTTTCGAAAAGTGCTTCCAGCATGTTGACGACTTTGCCACAGAGGGTCTGCGTACGCTACTCTACGGTTACCGCTACATTGACGAGGATACTTACACCAAATGGAAGGCGCAGTATCGCGAGGCGGAAACGAGTCTTGTTGACCGGCAACAGCGTATTGAAGAGGCTGGCGACGTGATTGAACACAAGTTTGATCTGGCTGGCGCGACGGCCATTGAAGATAAGCTCCAGGATGGTGTGCCAGAGACCATAGACAAGCTGAGCCGCGCCAACATCAAAGTCTGGATGCTTACCGGTGACAAGCGTGAGACAGCAATCAATATTGCGCACTCTGCGCATGTCTGCAAGCCCTTTTCGGAGCTGTATATTCTAGACGCAAACGCTGTTGCAACGCTGACGGACCAACTTACCATGACTCTAACCGATGTCAGTCGCGGCATGCTGCCCCATACTGTTTTGGTCGTAGATGGCCAGACTCTTACCGAGATTGACGCTGATCTCGATCTCTCTGTCCTCTTTTACGACTTGGTTGTTCGTGTCGACTCCATCATTTGCTGTCGCGCGTCCCCCTCGCAGAAGGCCGAACTTGTCAAGGCAATTCGGCGCTACGTCCCTAACAGTATGACCCTCGCCATTGGCGACGGCGCCAACGACATTGGCATGATTCAGGCCTCGCACGTAGGAATCGGTATTTCAGGACGTGAAGGGCTCCAGGCCGCACGAATTTCGGACTATTCCATTGCGCAGTTTCGCTTCCTGCAGAAGCTGCTCTTGGTCCACGGCCGCTGGAACTATCTTCGTACCGGCAAGTACGTGCTGGCCACCTTTTGGAAGGAAATATTTTTCTATCTCATGCAGGCCCACTTCCAACGCTTCACTGGTTATACCGGCACGTCGCTCTTTCAATCTACTAGTCTGACCTTGTTCAACACACTCTTTTCGTCATTGGCCGTCATTCTACCTGGTATCTTTGAGCGAGATTTGCGTGCGGAGACTCTCTTAGCTGTGCCCGAGCTATACACATTCGGCCAACGGAATAAGGCGTTCAACTATCGCTTGTATATTGGCTGGATGCTGATGGGAATTGCTAGCAGTTTCATCGTCTTCTACATCAGCTGGGCCGTGTACAGTTCGGCCCTGTTTACCGAGGACACCTCCCTCTATGCCATGGGCACTATCTGTTTCACCGTCGGCGTCGTCTTCATAAACACAAAGCTATTTATCCTCGAACTACACAGCAAAACTATCATTACGTTCGCGGGGTACGTTGTCACGGTTGGCGGCTGGTTCATCTGGCTGCTGATCCTGACCAAAGCCATCTCCCCAGCCATGAATGTATATCTCGTCTATGATACATTCATCCGCAACTTTGGCGCCCGTCTCGAATGGTGGATCATGCTCCTTCTTGCCCTCACCGGACCCCTCATGCTGGAGCTTGTTATCCAGAGCGTGCGAAGGGTGTATTGGCCCACAGACACGGATCTCATGCAGCGCATGGAAAAGGATGCGGATACACAACAGATGCAGGCTCTCTTTGATCAGGATCCGGAGTCTCATCGCCACGACGATCATGACAGCCATGACGACGAGGAAGAAGCCTCGGCCGACCACCAGCGCGGCCGCAATGCGACAAAGCTGAGCCAAGAAATCGACCGCAGACCAGGACATGCTCGATTCTCGCAGTCGGATGTGCCGCGGAGAGTTCCAGCTATGCGCGCTAGTCTGGATGAGAGCAGGCGACCCCAATTCACGCCGGCAGCGGTGAAACGAGAGTCCTCGTTGAACAGGCTCCCTACGAAACTCGAGCAGATCCGGGACGATTAGCGGAAATGTTAGATGAATTCAACATCAATTGCACTATTGAGCTATGATGCCAGTGCACTTCATTGCTGCCGGGGTAGTGCTGATGCACGATTGCGTTTTTGTTTCTATGATGAATGGGAAAAGGAGTTGGATATACCATCGTTTGTCTTGTTTTCACGAGCGCGAAATACGCCTATTGCTTGTTTTTTCGGTCTTTCCTTGCCTATAAAGGCTGTAGTATCATCTTTCAGCTTCGTTTTCATGTTAGTTTACGACTTCCTAAACATGCTATTTGTTCGACTCTCTGGGGATATTTCAAGTACACGGACACTGACCCCGCTATCAAGTGATGTTTTTGCCCTTTGTCGCTGGTTTTGGAGCCGAAGTGTCACAACTATGCGGCCGAACCTCTTGCGGACAGCCGGCCGCCAAGGATTCACATCAGCTGAGCCGTCATCTTTAGCTGCATGTCCTTTGAAAGTTGTGTCCTAACTGGTGGGACCGAGGTCTGATGCTATTCGTGGAAGTTACAACATAAGCTCATTTCTCGGCTGAACGGGCCGTCAGCGCTAGTGATCGGAAAGGGCCGCCTGCATCGTGCATCGGGCCCAAATCTTCCGTGGAGTTTACGTTGTAAGTCGCTCAGCCCAAGCGCATATATAAAGGCAAAGGGATACACGGTTGCCGTCTTGATCTCTTGTGTATGTCTATATAATATTTCTCGGCATCCTTAGTAAGAAAGAAGATCCTCTTTCATCATGAAGTATACCCTCTCCATCGCGCTCCTCAGCGCCGCCGCTGCGGCAGCCCCCCCTCCCTCCATTCCAGAGGCCATGGACGACAAGAGTTTTTACAGCCTCAAACTCCCCGACTTCACCCCATCGGGCGACCGCATCGTCGATTGGCGCTTCACAGCAAACAGCCCACTAGAGAAGCGCGCCCAATGCCTTGGCACAGGAGGCATCGCCAACGGGCAGTGCGTGCGGTACTACAGCAACCCGGGCTGCGCGGACCGGGACCACATCAAGGGCTACAAGCCGACGTGCGCGGGCAACTGCTACGTGGATAAGTTTAACTCGGTCAAGGCGATTGGCGACGGCACGTACTCGACCAACTGCGAGCTGTACTCGGACACGCAGTGCCAGAACAGCCTGGGCAGCGTTGGGGGCAAGACGGGCGGCGGACACTGCAAGAATGCCAGCGGCTGGAGCATGAGGTGCTACTACCGATGCTAGAATATATTGTCTATAATGCGTACTCGAGCTTTGGAACATGTGAGGCAGCGCCATGATCGGACTTGTTCTCGTACAATCTGGCATGCACAAGGTCTAGCACTGCACTGCTGGGTAGCAGATAAAAGAAAGCATGTTGTGAGGGCACTATTTATGACTCAGTACATATGCATGGTAGCGATCCTTGAGACACTTTTCATGTATAAATCACAAATCTGGATTCAAAGTTTTTATTGTTGGCGATCCGTTCCTAAGCCTGCTTTTAGACGCCTTTCTCACATGACGGAGCAGTAGCCCTTTGACTGGTCAGAGTGACCTAGTTTTTGCCTCAGCCAAGAAATCTCATCCAAGGAATATCTATATGCTCGGAACAGGGCATTCGAGTCCCCTGGAAAAATCCTCGCCGTCTCGGCATCGGGGTACGGGGCAAAGCAAGGATTGACATACTCCCAGCAGACGTATCTATCCGGAGTGACCTCGAACAGACGGCCAAAGCCGCTTTCGCACAAGAGAGTATTACCATTGGCGAGCCTCTGAGCGCTACCCATGAATGGAGTGAAGAAGCTTATCATCTGCGAGCGGTCGCGATACTCCCAGACAATTTTCTTGGTCGCACGATTAACCTCGATGGCGCGGGTGTAGGTGATGGATTCGCCGTTTCGGAAAGCGCCGTTGTCAAAGATGAGAATATTGCCATTGTCCAACTCGGTAGCGTTGTGCTGCTGTGCGAGGACCTCTGGCCCAAGCTTCCATACAATGTCGCCTGTGCTTCGTTCGATGATGACGACCGCGGAGACGGAGCGCATAGACGCGAGGACGTGTTTTCCGTCGCGTAGCGGTAGGACCGAGTTGATCAGAGGATAGTGCTCCCGCGTGTAGTGAGGCTGGAGAGGATATTCTGCCCGTGGTAGTCGCTCAGACACTTTCCATTGCCAGAGCAAGTTTCCGGCTCCGTCGACTTCCTTGATTGTGTCTGCGTAGGTGATGCCGTCAATCTCGGAGCCCGGAACACCACCAATGACCATTGCCGAATCTTCCTTTGAGAGAGCCTCGAGCGAAGTGTATAGGATCCGACCGTCGCCTGCAGTGGGAAGCCGAGGGTATCATCGTCACGCCATCGAGGCTCAAGCCAAAAATCGACCCTCTAGGGGAGGGCAGCGTCATCGTGAGCAGCGACAGCGACAGCGACAAGCCGCTGACGGAACAGCGGGCCGCGAAGAAGAAAGCCGCAAAGGAAGCCGAAGAAGAAGCCGCGAAGAAGAAGGCCGCAAGGGAGGCCGAGGAACAGGCCACAAGGAAGAAAGCAGAGAAAGAGGCCGAGGAACGGGCCGCAAAGAAGAGAAAGGCAGAGAAGGAGGCCGAGGAACGGGCCACAAGGAAGAAAGCAGAGAAAGAGGCCGAGGAACGGGCCGCAAGAAGAAAGGCCGAAGACGATGCGGCAAAGGCGGCCACGCAGACGGAAGACGAAACCAGGATACGCCCAGCATTCGAAGAATTATACCCGATGGAGGGCCTCACGACGTAAGAAAGGGAAGCCATCCTCGCCTACGCGGACGCCTTCGCAGATCCCAGACACTTCCCGCATATGATCGCCCTTATGGAACGGGGACGCGTCCCAGTGCATGTGTCTAGCACAGCAGCAACGGACTTCGTCATGTCCCGTCTGCTGCGACCCCAATTCACGTCCAGCATGTTCACCAACAGTAGGTGGCTACGGGAGGCCAGAGCCATCAGGACCCTGCACCCCCTCATCCCAAGAGAGTGGGCTGTGGCGATAGCCGCCAACCAAGAGACACTCGGGGAGATGCTGCCCCAGGATGACCAGCAGGCCGCAAAATACGCCAAGCATTGGTGGGGTGACAAATTGCACAGTCCATGAGAGAGAGAGAGAGAGAGAGAGAGAGAGAATGGGAGCGAGATGCCTAGAGAACAAGGGAGAATGGGAGCGAAATGCCTGGGGGACAAGAAGAATGAGACACAGAGGATATCTTGCTTTATTACTGGGGATTCAATGGAGTGTGAGCTTATGACGAAATGAGACCATGAGACACAGAGGGTATCTTGCTGGTAGCTAGCATACAGACGGCGGCATTGTCACGTAGCCCACTAGGGGGACCCTTCAGGAGCCATCGGCCACAGAGATAGACAGAAGTACTCGCTTTTATTATTTATTAATGCACCCCGTCAGTGTTTACAAGCAGACGCCGAAGACCAAATGGGTTCTAACCATAAAATGCCCGTTTCCGGGACCGCCCGCGCGTATCCCACACAGAAGCGTCAGAATCGTCAAGCTCGTCGAGGTCGTCGTCCTCCTCTGATATATCCGCCGCTTCTTCATCCTCCCGTACGCGCTTTCTTGGGCTGTTGTTGCAACTCTTGGACCCCAAAATAGGCGCAAACAAGGTGCGGCACTCCTCCCCAGACACATCGCTCACACCTGACACACCGTCTTCTTGCCGCAGAGTGATCAGACGGCGGGAGACGCCAGTGTGTAGAAACATGCCTGAAGAGAGCACTGTCCACGCAAAGCGCGCAAACAAATATTCGACTGCTATACCTGATAGCTGCTGTGGCTGGGCATTGTGATAGACAGCGGGTAACTCGTCCTTGGGCGTACCGGAAATAACGTGTATCACCCAGGAGCCATGCTTCGGAACGAAGACAAAACGACGCTGATCAAAGGTAGAATGAATGTTGGAACAGAGCAAAATAGCATTGCGTGCGTCACCGGTGAGAGTGGCTGTGGCAGCCAGGGTTGGCGACGAGTACCGACCCATTTCATTGCTAGCAAACCAGGAATTTTCGCGGCGCGGGATGAGGTGTGCTATCTCGGTACCAAGCGTGGACAAGGTAATACGACACGAGACATCGCGCGCGTGGACGGAGTTGGTTGTGGTCTCGAGCGGGATTGATGATGCTTTCCACGTGGGCGGCAAGTTATTGTGTGGGAATTGGAAATGTGCAAAGGAAGGGACGATAGGATACGGCTCGGGATTCATGTCGCCAACGCTGTTCGGGACGTGGAAGTAGTAGTTGCTTCCGAGCAAAAGGTCGTCTGGACCAATCTGAACAGGCCTGGCACCAGCTGCCTTATCCTCGGAGAGGAAGCCATCCCAACGACAGTTGGCCACAATGGCACATGCGACACGAGCCGTCTCATGATGCAGGCCGAAGCCTATCTGGCCATCCGATCCATCTTCATCTGAGCCTTGCTTCTTGTACGCATCGAGCGCCGGCATAATGAGTAAAGTGCTGCGTTTGTCAGGGTACCCTGGATGGCACAGTGTTACGCGGTGGCCACAGGTCACGCTCGATGAGTAACCTCCATCCGAGTGCTTTGGTGCTTGTAGACGGGCTCTTATAACGGATGGAATCGCCATTTGCTAAGAATTATCGTTGAAAATTGATGAGAAAAATTGATGAGAAAAATTGATGGTGTATACAGACAAGCCACAAGTCGCTTTGTTGTTGCCAAACTTGGGAGCTGGTAGCCTTTTATAAGTAGTTTCTTGGTTCCCATGGTGAGTACCAGAGTACGTAACTGCCTAAAAAAAAAAAAAAAAAAAAAGAATTCTAGCCCGCGCCACATCTTATTTAATCATAAAAAAGTTAAACTCTAAGGTAGCCGCAATTCCATAATCAGCGGCAAGGTGAGCAAATTTACCATTTATTGTGTGTATCCTGTTTGTTAGGTGTGGCCGGTGGCTGGCCACTGGCCTACAACAACATGTCAGAGAAGAGGGGATAATGATGATGTTTTCTCTAGGTTCTGTGTGTCCCTCCACAGGCCCAACAGGTGCCGCCTGACAAAAAAAAAAAAAAAGTCCTCGTTTTTGAGGTCCTATAATTATGTATATTTAAATTCCCAGGCACCTTTCTTAAGGACTTTAATGCCACGATTCTGTGTGTCTTGTTTGCTCTATAGCTTATTGCTCTTTGGCTTATTGCTCTTTGGTTTGTGGCTTGAATTAAAATGTGGTGGCTCTCTGGCCTGGGCTCTCTGGCCTGGGCTCTCTGGCCTGGGCTCTCTGGCCTTTTATGTTTGGTGTTCTGGCTGGTGCTGGTGCTCGTGGCTGATGATCTTGATGTTGGTCCTGGTGGGCGAGGCCCTGGTGCGTTAAAGCTGGTGGAAGTCTCTGGTGCTCTGTGGCTGGTTGCTGACGGTCTGGTGCCTTCTGGCTGGTGTCTTAATAAAATTTGATGACTAGTGTCTATTAATGATATAATAATAATTAATGAAAAACATGGTCTGGGTAGAATAGTGTTACCACTTATCAGAGAAGAGGGGATAATGATGATGTATTCTCTAGGTTCTATGCGTGCATCCACAAGCCCAACAAAGTATATCATTATTATCTTCTAACAAGTAGCAGCAATATTAGTTAATGTAGACTACTATGTTATGTTGCGCACTTACTGGGTGATGTCTTTTCATTCCAGCTTCAAAAGCTACGCCCAAATCATCTGCCCGACACTACAGCAAACTCTCCTCACTATACCTAAGATTTACCTAATATTGAGTTTTACCCAGATTTCATAGGTTATGAGCTGTTTGGTATGGATGATGACATGACAGGATGGCCATAGTATAGCTTGCTATGGCTCTAATTTCTTTTTTTTTTTGTGTATTGCACCAAGCATCTCACCTGTACTGCGACATGTACAGCACTCTGAGCATCCTGTAATGGAAAGGGTATATCACATTTTGATGCATTCTGCTCGCCATATGCAAAAAAATTGAGGCAACCGACGGGTAGTCGCTATTCAATGAGTTGGGCCGCAGTATACAGGAAATGGAGGCGAAAAAAGAGCGAAATGAGTGTTAGTTGGTCATACCTGTCATGGTAGTTCTAATGGTGGTGGAAAGGCAGGGCGTGACAGTGAAGCAATGCCGCAATTTTGAGCAAACGAACCCAATGTACTCAACAGCTGTCTTGACCATTGGCATCAGTGCATGAATGCTACTTCAATATTGGGCTGACTACGCATTCTCAGCCATCCAGTCTGTGAGGCTAGTTGGCTATTTGGGTTGCACACGGCCCAGGGCCAGATTCTGGTAGTCGCACGACGAGGTATGAGTAGCAATACGAACTCCAAGCCTCAAACTGGTGCAATCATGGTGCAGTATATCATATATCCAAATTGTGCATCTGCCAATCGTGCATAGCCTTTGCGCATAGCTAGATTGCAAGGCGTAGAGGTTTGGCTCTGATGACACCAGTTATTCAGCGAGCACTGGTACGACAATGGCACATATGACTGACAACATTTTTCGAAAGCATTATTTATTATGCGATGGAACTATCTTTCTGTGACTTGAACTCGGTTGACTCCCAGTATACAGTATCCTCGCCAGCAGGCGTGCCCCGAGAGCACCCACCTCTTCCAAGTCAACCTAAACAAGCCGAGGCTCTCGTAAGCTATATCATGTCTAAGCTGTTGATAAAGTCCCATCAACTGACGAGGTATCTTTCAAGTTGAGAAGACAGAATATCATCACGCCAACAATGCTTCCTCCAGCGCAGCCGAACCCTCCATCAGAGCCAGACCTTCCATCGCAGCCAAAGACGGTCTGCAGCCACTGCGCGGGAACCGGCGCGATGCAAATAGAAAAGCCAGTCTATGTAGAAGAAACATGCTACAGTTGCCGTGGAACGGGCAAGTTTGGCCGCGGTGATGGGCAACGATGGTGCGCCTTTTGTCACGGCGCAAAGATTCAGACCAGATGGACGTCGACATGGGTCCATCACCCGTGTTCCGGCTGCACATAGTAGTACTAGGACCTCCAGAGAAGATTAAAAACCCCTGGCAGAGCACACTCATTGTTGTATGCTCCTATTCCATCGGCCATAATGTCATCCCCGCAACTTCCACGTCTCTTCTTGTGAGCTGATCAAGTGAAGTACTCCGACGGGCGTCTTTTTCTGCAATCCAGTACCTCTCTAACTCCGGGTCATGGCTTTCAATCAAATCACCATGTTCTGAGCAGCCCAGTCTTTGAATTCTGTACCCCACAGGCACAGCTCAGAACATGGCACTCCGTGGCGGTCAACAATGCAGCCGATGCCGCCGTGCAAAAGGAGCGTAAGCTACTCCATACATGGACTTGGATTCAAGGCCCTCTGCATGTGCTGCAGCCTAGTTCGCATGTGAACTATCTAATTAGTAGTAATTGTTATCGTCTCTATGGGTTCGCAAGCCAATATCTAGTTGCCGCATGCTGGTGATGGCTCGCATGGACTAGTGATTGTCGCCAACAGCTGACACTCGTGCTGACGGGACACAAGACAGACTCAAGATACTTGTTGCAGGCAAAAAAATTTAGATACTTTGGGCTGCTACTATCCCGACTGCCAAAAGTGCGGGCAAAAGATGGTGAGCAGGCGAAAAAAATGTTTCCATGGGCCGCGTTGAGGAAAAGGCCATGAGTCACACAACAGGTCTTGATGCAGAACGCAGCAGGCAGCATTTTCACATGAAGACGTCGCGACAATTAAACCGTTTTTAAATGTCTCCCTGCATGAATTTTACTAATTTTTGGGAATCAACCTTTGCGTTGAGTGCCGTGACACCAAAGTTCTGGATGACGTCCAATGACGTACAGGCTTTACACAGTCACATGCCCAGGTCGTCAGTCTGTAATTTTGTATCAATTAATTGAGGGCTGTGTTCAGAGACCTGAAGACCCACGATTCCGAACCATTTCCGATTCTTCCGGTACAAGAATTCGAATTTCTGCTGGTAATTTGAGTCCGGCGAACGGAGGCGGAGGCTTAGACGCCTCCGCTCGGCCCGTTTTACGGGTATCGCGAAGCGCTGACACCCAGAGACTTGTGGCAGCCAGACCAATACCTTGCGCGCATCTAGCGGCGCACCACGCACATGGGCCTGTGCCATAATAAAACACAACAATTATTTGGTGGAGTGTATGTTATCAGGTGATGCCCGCTCTGACGATGAAGCGAACGGAAACGGGGCAGCCCAGAGCCAGCCACATATTCGGGGGATCCGTAGCTGTACCTGAGCATGGAGGAGTTGAGATTGATTGTTGTGTATTGTTTCCACAATCACATGAAAACATGCTTTGGTATTCTGACACGTATGATGTTTATTGTTGGGGCAAAGTCTGGACGCTGAAGAACAGAGAGAGGGTGTAAGTAGTCCAGTAACTGCACCAATGTCGACTTTACCCGGACTCTATTGAGATGAGATGACAGCCAGAGGAAAAAGGTGAAGACGGTATGCATGATTGGTCATTTTTTAGAAAATGAGCGACAGAGTTTGGTATGGCACTTTTGGTCGTTGCAGCTCAATCGAGTCAGACGCCCAGGACATTCTAGGTACATGCTATTACCACGTGTCGGCGTTTCTGAAACTAGTACTGAAAATCGACGACTTCTTTTGTTGGGGGAAGCCCTTGTAACTAGATTGATTCGATGCATACTTTTTTAGCGGAGAGAGGCGGGGAAAGGCCGAGTCCACATCACATGTGAGTTTAGTTTATCCCCTCATCAGCCCGCTGAACGGACTCCGTTCACCCCGTAATGGGCTAATTATGTCGCGGCTTTTTCTGATTTCTGCGGCGATGATGGAGACAACCCTAAACCAAGTTGGTTATTAGTGCCGCATCAATAGGACACAGAATCGCCCCCGTCTCCGCCACGCTGGGTACGGTGTCTGGCTCTTATAAGTCTGAACGGTCCCCCCGGGACTCGAGAGAGACCTTCAACTATTGATTTTGTCTTTTCTTTACTAAAACCGAGTCCAAAATGGCAACGACAACTACGACGATACAGCGCAACCCCAAAGACTCCCTCAAGTCGACATGGCGACTGGATCCCAACAAGGATGGGTGGACCATGGCTCACCACTTCTTTGGCATCTTTGACTTGCACCAGTCGTATCTCGACGTTCCCGTCCCCGTTCACCAAAAGAGCGAGCCTGTTCCGTACATGCCAAACTGGCAGATGAACGTCTTCATCATTGTCTGGGGCGCACTACCGATCCTCGGTCATCACATCTTTCACACCCTCACCGGACGCAACATGCACATTGCCGTTGCCTACCTGTACTATGGCTTCGCCCTGTCCACGTTTGCCGTTCACGAGCTCCGCATGCTGCGACGTCTTGGCCATCGCCACGGCTACCTCGACGGGGACAAGCACGCCCGCGACGGCGTGCCCGACGCCACGGTCAGAAAGGTGGCCGACTCGCTGCTCGCTGCCATTACGTTTCGCCCAGCGATCCTGATCCTGCTCGCCTACCGCACCGGCCTCAACCCGGAGTCGCTGAACCTGTACCTGCTGCCGCTCCAGGCCGCGCTGTACCCGATCGTGACCGACTTTTGGTTCTACTGGTACCACCGCCTGATGCACGAGGTTCCGTTTCTGTGGAAGTTTCACCGCACCCACCACCTCACCAAGCACCCCAATGCGCTCCTGACAATCTTTGCCGACACTGAGCAGGAGATTTTTGACATTGCCGTCATTCCGTTTCTGGCATTCTACTCGATGAAGTTTATCGGGCTGGAGCTCAACTTTTACGCCTTTTGGATGTGCCACATGTACGTGTGGTTCACGGAGCTTCTGGGCCACTCTGGCCTGCGCGTCCATCTCCACGCGGCTTCGCTCATTGATGGCATTTTGGGCTACTTTGGGGTCGAGCTGGCGCTGGAGGACCACGACCTGCACCATCGGACGGGCTGGAAGAGCAGCCACAACTATGGCAAGCAGAGTCGCGTGTGGGACACGGTGTTTGGAACATGCGCCGATCGCATCGAGTGCAAGGAGAATAATGTAAACTATGATGACATTGCTTCGTTTCCGCTGTTGTAGGAACTGGGGATTCGGGGGACTTGGGCAAGGAAAGAAAGCAAAGAAAAGAAAATAAAATAAAAGAGAAACAGACCGGCCTGATTCCCACGTTGGATTCAGGCACAGTGATGGGCTTAGCGAGCAAATGTTTTTTAGATTTGGATTTTATTACAGAGAATACATACGTTCCGAAAAACGACTGGAAAGGTTCGAATATTCCCTCCTCGTAATTGTTCAAGTATTACTACAAACTGGTGGCTCAGCGCAGCTCGTTGCGCTTGTTCTGTCTGTCCCTTTAGTAGCCTGGCGGAGAAATTAAATTCTTGAGAAATGTACGAAAACGTCCCGTCGATGCGTCAGCACTGCTATGACTTGTGCGACGAGAAATCGAGTTTGTTATCTCGCAGGTTCCCGTCGACGGGTGGCGAGTCGTCACCATGCGGTTCGTCCGATCTGGGTTTCAGTTAGCACTGCCGCTAGGAGTTTTAACACACCCCCCCACGTATATTTACGATGGGCATTATTGATCTTGGCCTGCTCAAGCATGGCCTGATATTTGGCTTTTGCGACTTCAGAAGAAGAAGGCATTTTTGAATGATTGTTTTTCTGTGTCTGTTGAATTGAATCGGTTGAGTGATGGACATGTTCAATCAAGATACAGAGTGCGGGGAAGGGGGGGGGGAGGTTTGCCACATTTTGACTTGTCTCGTGATCGAGCTACCCCGCGCGTTTCCCTACCAAACGGCAGTTGCTAAGAAGCAACAATCTTTTTTCGGGGCTCATGGCATGCGATACGGGGTCAGTAGAAATCGGCCTCACACTGACAGTAAGTAGTGCTCGAGTTTCAGCACTACTTCGTCTGCAGTCCATTGGCAGGCTTGAGAACCACCATAATCGGCCATGCCGAAATTCTTTGGCGAGCTAGTATAACTCTACGTATCTCTCGCTAGAAATTGGAAAAAAACTAAACTAAAATCCATATTTATCCTCCATGTTAGCATCATCTTGACCTTTGCTGCAAGGACGGACGACCGACCCTCTCAATGCTTTTGTATTCTTCAACAGCTCTGCTTGCGGGCAGTCCGCCCATGTGCGAGCGCAGCGCACCAACCAATTACAAACCATCTATCATGGCCTTTATGCTTGTTATCGTGGCGTGAAAATCGTGTTGGATGATTAAAAACACAGAATTTTCGCCATGGCCTCAACACTTACGTAGCACGTAAATATGGACATCATGTCGCTGCGACTGTACCCGATCGGCACCCAACAACACCAACATCGCTTGGCAACTGATGTGTGTCCACGAGATGGTGGGAGGGCCAAGTCATTATTAGTGGCTTGGGCTGGCCTGGAACCCGGCGCAGGTTCGGCATCAGTAACTCGTCGAGGCAACATGGCGCCAATCCAAGCCCGCCGTGAGAAATGCAGCTGACCCTGTGTTGCGTTGTCGGAGACGAGGACAAAGAAGCCGCTCCTACCTCCTAGAGCCCTTGACTTTAAAAAGGTTGGAGCTCCCAGCATCTCGGGCTCCGGCACTGGTGTGCAGCAGCTCTTCCTCGATTATTCTTAGAGGCTTGTTCGGCTTTTTTTTTTTTCGATAGAGAGGTGATATATGCGGAAAAAAACCCACCATGAATACTGAGTACGATGTTGCCGTCGTTGGACTTGGAGTCCTGGGAAGCGCCGCTGCATATCACGCTGCCCGGAGAGGCGTCAAAGTCATTGGCTTTGAACAATTCGAGTTTGGTCACGTCCGCGGCGCCTCCCACGATACATCACGCATCATCAGGACGTCGTACGAGGCGCCCCAATATGTGGCCTTGGCCAAATCTGCATACAAGGACTGGGCTGCACTGGAGGAAGCCGCGGGGCAAAAGCTGACCAACATCACCGGCGGCCTGGTGTTTCTACCAGAAGGCGGGCCTCTCTCTGCCGAGTCCTTTGCCACGAGCTTGGAACAAAACGACATTCCCTACGAGCTTTTGACGTCGGAACAAGTGGGCCAAAGATGGCCGCAGTATAGCATCGCCGATACGGTGAAGGTCGTCTACACTGCCGACTCTGGCATAGTCCATGCAGCCAAGGCTGTCATGGCCATGCAGCATTTGGCTCGAGCGAATGGTGCAGAAATCAGAGAGCTCACGCCTGTAACGTCAATCGTCCCGAAAGACGGCAATGTTGTCATCGAGACACCAAGCGGCACATTCTCTGCGAAGAAGATTATTCTGGCAACAGATGCTTGGACAAACGAGCTGATTGCTCCTCTGGGAGTCGAGATGCCTCTCCAGGTTTCACAAGAGCAAGTCACCTACTTCAAGCCCACTGATGTGTCAGCGTTCGAGTCTAGCCGGTTTCCTGTCTGGATCTGGCACGCTGACCCATGCTTTTACGGATTTCCCGTGTACGGCGAGCCTACGTTCAAGGTCGGACAGGACTGCGCCATGAACCTGATGAGTCCTCAAGAACGAACCTTTGTCCAGTCGCCAAAGATTTTGAAAGACTTGTGTTCTTTCCTAGAGGACTTTATTCCAGACAAGGCGCGGGAGCCTTTGCGCACAGTGACTTGCCAATACACAATTACACCAGATAGACAGTTTATTCTGGGTGCTCTAAAGAAGCACCCGAGCGTCATTCTGGCCCTCGGAGCGGCCCATGCTTTCAAGTTTGCGCCGGCAATTGGAAGAAATCTGGCCGAGCTCGCTATTGACGGAAAGAGTACCGATGACTTGTCCAAGTTTGGTGTGCCAAGTGGTGTCGGCGACGACTAATCAGTCGGGTATATTGCCTGATATTGCTGATTATTAGCGTCAGTACATTAATAACAAATGAACATGAAAATTGAACATGATTAGATAATTCATAAAGTCATCCTCATAATATATCCTGGGCCACGATGATGCAGCAGAAGCAGACGATGCAGGCGATACAGCAGATGATGATAGATGACAATTATAGTTGATCAGTATCCGTACTCCGTACTACTGGTAACGTTCTTAGCCACAGAATTTGATGGAATCACTAGATGGACCCTTCTCCCATGGAAGTGAAGCGGAGTGTTGAAAATTCAGATTTTCGGCCCTCGCAACCGGGCCGTCGCCGCCTCTCGCATGCCGTCTCACATTCAACTGACCGGCGTCTTCCCCCGCATGGCACTCAATGTTCTGCGTCAAGCCCATCATCATCATCTCATTCCTGCAACCGTTCGAGCTTCGCTGGCTCCAAGAAGACGCCTTTTAGCCCTCCAAGGCCTCACAAACCTTCTCATCATCGCAAGTGTCGCCGCCAGCGCCACCGTCCGCGCCAAACGAGCCAAAGGCCGGTGCAATTCGTGATCTGGCAGCCTCCAAAACAAGAATTAGATATTGTCGTTGTACGTCTCGAAAGATTCCGTTGCCAGGCAGAAACTCACGCATCCCGTCGTCCCCCGGGTATGCTTCTGCCAGGCAGGCCATGAAGGCTGCTGGTATGCGTTTGTGAGCTGCTCTGAGCGCCGTTGAGGCTGCCCGACGGCATCTACTTTCAGTGGTGGATGTCGAGGAGAGGCCTGCGGCGATTGAATCGTCAAGGCGTGCCTATATCGATTATGGATAGTGTCTGGGGAGATTTCTTGTTGAAAGATCTTTAAATTGTTTTTCGGCACTTGGCGTTTTGCTTTTCTGGGTTTGCTTTTTCGCTCAAATACTTATCCTACCCATTGTCGACTGCCTCCCCGTGGCGGGTAGGGGAAAGCTACTGTCTGGAAAAGCTCTCGGTAGAGACCTATCTCTAGACATTTCGGACAGCGGTTGAGCTTGAAGTTGTCATTGGTTCGCCAGCCTTCTTGGCGTCGAGCCAAAAAAAAAAAAAAAAAAAAAAAAGGGTAAAGAAGGTTCGTCATCAGTCGCATACGCCAGGCATCACGACTAACATGGGCAGCGCAATGCGCTCGCCACGCATCTCGACGTCCACAACAACGCGCCCCAGTCCGCCGCCGCCGCCGCCACCATCGTCGTCCTCGTCTCCCCGCTCGCAGGCCAGCACAACGAACCCGTCCGGTGCACCATCTCCTTCCGCTGGTGGCTCACCGGTTGCGAGCACGCCGAGTACAGCGTCCCCATCGTCTTGTACGTGCTGGTCTGCGATTACTTGACCGTCCTCGCCGGCGCCGTCCTCTGCGCAACGCTCTGGACCCTGGCGAGGGCACTACTTTGCAGCCCCAGCACAACTATCAAGCGGCCGCTCAGCGGCGTTTCGTTTGCGAGGCTCGAGTACGCGCTTCCGATCTCTGTACTGTGAACATCGAAACGAAAGCGGTCCTTCGTGTCGTCACTGAGCGCCACAAACCAGGCGATGCAGCTCGAAGCTAGCTGCGACGACTTTCTCGCTCTGTGTGGCACAGATAACGGAAAGGGTGTGGCGCGGATGCTCGGTGATCATCCGGGAGTATTTGGGCGGCGGCTGGTGTTGACGCGTGTCTTGGTCGATTTGAAGTTTGAGGAACCCGCTGTGCTGGCTCACGCTAGCTGCGACGACTTTCTCGCTCTGTGTGGCACGGACAACGGAAAGGGCGTGGCGCGGATGCTGGGTGATCATCCCGGAGTATTTGGGCGGCGGCGGTTGTTGATGGGTGCCATACATTACACGGCTTATGAAAACCAGCTATGCTGGCTCGTGGGGGAGGATTCACCCCCGGTGGACATAGCGGTGGACGAGGTGACGGTGATACAAGCTTCAATGAGCAGAGGAGGAAGTATTTAAAACCAATTGACCGGCAGCCGGTCAATCAACAGCCAATTAATCAACAGTGATTCAATGAACAGCGAGTGAATCAACTGCCAGATAATCAACTGCCAGATAATCAGCAGCCAGTAAAGAACAACAGCCAGTCGACCAGCAGCCAGGCAATCAACAGCCAGTTAATCAACAGTCAGTCAATTAAACCTACTGCTGATTGACCGGCTGCTACTTGACCGGCTGCTACTCGACTGACTGCTGATTAACTGTTGATCATGAGACCGTCGACTAGAGCCGGCTGTTAATTGAGATGCCTTGCTACTGAAATACTACCTGTAGCGCATCTACAAGGGACCCGAAGTGAAAAAAATTTTCTGCTCCCCCATTTCTATCCATCACTGACAGAGGGAGCTAATTCCTCATTGTAAAGTTGTCCAAGTTGTCAAGGAATTCTGCATCACCGGCCTCCCAAGCATGTTTGCGCTCAAACTGCTCAATAAGAGTGACGTGCTTGGCGCTCCTCGGGGAGATTTGAAACTCAAACTCGGCAGGGTACGTCAGCAGGCCGGGCTGTGCCTCGACGTTGACGTCAATCTCCTTGCCGTCCCTTCCCACCTTGTTGGTAAATTGAAAGGTGGCGAGCGTCTGGGCTATATTAATAAACAAGCTCGAGTCGGCAAAGAAGCGACCGGGACAGATGCGGCGACCGTAGCCAAAGGCCTCGGTACGCGGGTCGGGCTCGCTGCGCGGCGTGAGGAACCGGTCCGGGTCAAAGCGCTCCGGGTCGGCATAGACATCGGGGTCATGCAGGAACCACCAGACGGCGGGTAGGAGAAGCGAGCCTTTGGGGATATGCATGCCTCTGTACTCGACATCCTCGGTTGCCGTATGGGGAAAGCCCATGGGCGAAATGGGCCACCAGCGAGAGGCCTCCTTGACGAGCGCGTCAATGTACGGCAGGCTCTCGCGGTCGGCAAAGGTCGGCAGCCGCTCTGAGCCGACGACGCGGTCAATCTCATCCTGGGCCTTGCGCTGCACCTCGGGAAACATGATCATGGCGGCGGTAAAAGCTGTGAGCGTGATGACGGTGGTGTCGGCGGCGGCGCCGTACAAACTAGCGGCGGTCCAGATGATAGCATGCTCATCCTCGGCGCTTAGCTTGCCATCGGCGCTCTCGTGCGTGAGCTGCTGCACGAGCTTGGACACGTAGCACGGCCGAGAGGTGAAGCTGGCCATCTGGCGACGGACAAAGTCGTAGGGGATGTAGCCGGATGCGTGGATGGACCTTTTCCACCGGCGCGCTGTCTCCTTGAATCCGACGCCGGGAATGCCCTCGGGCAGGTAGCGCAGGGCGGGAATAATGTCGACTGCCCAGGCCATGGGAACGGCGGCAAGAGAGAACTCGGTCATCATCTGGTCAATTAGATTGACCAGCATGTCGGGCTTGTCAGGCTCAATGGTATATCCGTAGGCCATTTTGAGGACCGTAGCGGCGGCGGTACTAAAAAAAGGCAGTTAGGGGGGTCTGGCTGCAGCAGATTCGAGTAAGCGACAGGACAATGGTGCTCACGTTTTTAAATGCGCCTTCCACTGTTCCGGGTGTTTGAGCGCGCGCACCAGCTGGCGGCCGACCTCGACCTCCTGGACGTCTTGGAACTGCGTCGCCGACGCCTTGGTGCCGAGCTCACGGTGCAGGTACTTGCGGTACCGACGAAACGTGGAAGTATAGCTCTGGCAGACGACAATAGCCTCATAGCCGCACAGCTGGTTGGCCATGACCATTGCGGGCCGTCCCGACGTCTTGGCCGCCACCTGATCGAGCAGGTCGTGGGCGGCTTTTTTGTCGTGGATGATGATGAGCGTCATGCCCATGATGGTGACGGAACTAATGGGTCCGTGGACATCCTTGTGCTCCAGCCAGTGCAGGTACTCGAGCTTTCCGGGCGGCGGCAAGTCATTAATGTTCCCTAGCACAGGCATCGGCTTTGGCCCGGGCGGGAGCCTGCTCTTGTTCTTCTCGCTTGTTGACTTTTTGTAGACGAGATAGCCGACGACAGCCATGAGGATCCAGGTGAGCCAGATAGAGACAGCCATCCTTAATGTCCGCAGACTTGGACATGCCTAGTGAAGAGAAAAAGAAGAAAACGAGGACGAATATTTCCTGAAGGTGGTGCAGCTGACATTCCGGGTGGCGACGCGTAAGTCTTAGACACTGCAGCCACCTACGTTTTGTGCAGTCAGGCTGTCGAGTCCTGCCAGTGTCGCCACAAGGCCCCCGGCGCGACTGATTTCACAAATGACTGTTATTAGAAAATGCACTGGCTACTAGGGCATAGCATTCTGTTCCGGTGTCCCCGCAAGACTCTGCTCGAAGCTTGGCATCGCCCAGTTCTTGATCCATTCCGACGCAAGCACTTCGTTTGCCGAGGGTCGAGCTCTCGGATCCAAAGACAGCATCCGACTCAGCAGGGAAATGAAGGCCGCTTCTTCATCTTGTGGTAACACGCCAGCCTTGCGCTTTGCCCTGTATTTCTGTCCCCAAACTTTGAAGGCTTCATCAAGTGGAGGAGAGGTGTCGTCATTTCCTCGAGCGGAATTACCCTCTGCGTCGAAATACTCGAGCCGCTTCTCCCACTGTTTCCACCACTGCGGCGGCATTGGCCCGAGGATATCCTCTTGCTGCGCAACGACAGAGTCTGGCGGCACAAGCTGGTCATTGAACAGAGGTTTCATCGCTATGAGATCCCAGAGGGCGATTCCGAGACACCAAATATCGGCAGAGAAGGAGAGCGGCGATGATGGCTCGAACCGACATTCTGGTGGCCGCGCGGCTAAATAGGAGCGGCAGTCCTGGCAAGGACGGAAAGTTTCCGCTGGTGCAAAGGATTCGCCAAAGTCAATGAGAAGCAAGTTGGTTTCCTGCAAAGATATCTCAGAAGCCGGCTTGCCAAGATCGAGAGGCCGAACTGCTCTTGCGGGAACATTGGGTGGCAGGGCGCCTTCATCAGCTCTGGATATCTCTTCTGTCTGCGGGCGTATGTATAGTTGGTCGATAGACAAGGTGCTCAAGCCAGAGTTGAGCTTGATCATTGCATTGCCGAGATGAATATCTACATATGAGGGAATAAAAATTAACCATTTGCGCCAAAGCATAAAGCAAGTCTAGACTCACCACCATGAACATAGCCCTGGTCGTGCATGTATGCCACGGCTGACACGAGCTTGAGTGCCAAAGCCCTGGCCACGTCCAACTTGAACATTCTCGAGGAAGAGCAGTCTCTGATATTGCATTCTGCCACAGCAGTAGTGTAGCAGGGATGCGTACCGTTGGAACCATGCACGGTGAATTCGTCGAGGGGCACAGGTATGGCGCCAGCTCCCGATGCCGCGACAGATGTTGTCGAAACGCTAGGTTTGGATTCTGATAGCGCCTTCATCACGGTTGTCTCATGTGTTCGGGTGTCAGAGACGCCAATCTTGAGAGCGACATACGTATATTGCTCAATGTCCCGTGCGAGCCAGACGGTCGAAAACCCCCCATAGCCCAACTTGGCCACAATCTCATATCGACTTTTGAGGACATTTCCAATCATGACTGGATGATAGCCACCCGGAACATATTTTTCGAGAGTCTCGACGTCTTCGATCCAGTTGTACTTGTTGGTCCGTCAGGGAATGTACGTACGTATCACGTTATAGGTTAGTTGGTGTTCTTAATTATAGTTGTTATTATTAGGCAGGCCTTAGCCTATAGCTATTAATCTAAGTATAAAAGTAGGTTAAATATTAATTTAGGCTAATAAGAGGGCTATATTTATTAAGGTAGCTAGTAGCTATAATACTAGTAGTCTTTCTCTTTTTAAAAGCTTAATATTATTAAAATTATTAAAATAATAAGAATACCTTAAAATATATATATTATTATTAATTCTAACTTCCCTAGCTTATAATTTCTTTATTATAACCTAGTTAGCTATAGTATTAGTCTTATATTAAGATTTAACCTAAATACCTAGGCTTATAAAGGTAATTTAGTGTTAATAAGGTTATTATAAGTTTTACTTATTTAGTATATATAAAAATGATATTTTTAGTTTCTTAGCTTATTTTAAGTATTAAATAGCCTAATTAGCTTAATTCCTCTAAATTTATAATAAAAATAAGATTTCTCTAATATATATATATATAATATAACCTTCTTTTAGTCTATATATAACTTTTATTATTTATAATAACTAATATTAATATATAAGGCTTCTTTACCTTTTATAATAAAAAAAGAAGAATATATTTAAAGTAATTTTCTAGATTATAGATAATATAAAGATAAATTAATTTTCTAGATTATAGATAATATAAAGATTTAATTTTTTAGATTATAAATAATATAAAGATAAATTAATTTTCTAGATTATAGATAATATAAAGGTTTACCTTATTTATAATCTACCTATTTTT